AGACATTATTTGCATTACACAGCGAGGCGCCATTTATATAGAAAATATATTTTATAATTGGATATTTTGGCACGAGATTTTATATGAGAGACGAATGTGGTTTGCAGACTGTGTGAAAGAATTGTATGTTCCTGTTATTTATCAGGGAAAACTCATCTCTTGAGTCGCTGTATACATAATGATGAATAACGATTTGATTGCTGTGCATGGTAATTAATTAAATTTGCCTGAAATTTTCGTTGAATATATTCTCAAAATACACTTTCATTTTGAGTATTAAGAGTCGGTGCATGGTGTGAGAGAGTGTGATTGAAATATGGGAGAGATTTATTTATTAATGCATTTTGGACATGTGAAAATTATGACTAACAATAATAATAACTTGAAATGTAAAATACAAAATTGTGGTAATTGAATAAAGTTTTGGTCAATTAAGTCTACAAAATGTGTTCCATTTTATGAATATTATCACAATTAATGACAATATCTCAATTTTACACACTCACAATTTGTCTATATTAGCATTTGTTGCTGTTCTTTTTTTTCGCGGCTATTAAAGACTATAAAAAAAACACTGAAAATAGAAAACAAAGTACGCGGGGTTTAAAGGACACAATTTGATGTCACCTTTCGGATTATGGGGGGGGAAAACGTGTTGAAAATCCTTTATAATCGTCGAGAGCAAGTTGGCATCTTTCTGACACGAATTAAATTCTCAATTTGCTTTTCATAGCGTAACACTGTGATGAAGCCACGTTGCGGTGATTTTCCACCTTTTTCCCGTTCATCAAACTAATTTCAATTGACAATTTATTGATATTACTTTATACAGTCGTTCTATGAGAACATTTCACAATTTACAATTTTATTTGCAAAAAGTCATGTCTCGTCAGGGAAGTTAAGCACGAATTTATGAAGGTTTTGTCTTGTGTGTGCTTTAAATTGGATTTGACTATATATATTCATGTGTGTTATATAGAGCTTTGGTGCGGTTAGAATGATTGCAGAGAATTCAACTCGTAGGCGCACAATAATAATGCAAATGCGTCATAGATTTGCACTCTCTGTTGTGTTGAGAATTTAAACAATAGGTAGAAATATTTTACATACAAATATTTCATAGTTTTATGCGACACAACACAACAAGACATGCTCTTGACCTTTGTATTTTTAGTATTTTCTCCTTTCTGTCTGTTGTGTGTCTATGATTTGAGAAAGACATTATTCATTAGATTTTATTATTCACTTCACTTCGAAATGATTCTCTAAGCGCACAACATATATTGTAGAGTGACAATGAAAAAAAGTGATGTAGACAATAAATTCAATTTTCTTTTTAACACGCCGCAGTGAGGAAAAAGAAGATCGTGCAGAGAAACAGCGAAGCAAAAGAATCGGTTGCCAAGTTGAGAAATGAGCATCTTAATTAATTTTAATAATTTTCATATGTTGAGAAGTTGTCAGTTGATTTCTGCCAATAGACTTTTATGATAATGCATACGTATTCACATATGGTTATATGCTGTATTTTACCCAATAACTCTCAATGTCACGCCTGTCCATCTGAATCATGTTTGCTCAAATTGTCGTAACATGAAAAATTTCTAATCAAACTAATCTCACCAAACACCTGTTCCCATCAACATTAACAACAACCAAGACAATATGCTATTTTGCGTCTTTTCTTTCGGCCAGTGACAGAGAAGACGATTTGTGTCCAAGTCTTTCTTCATGCAATGCAATTTTTGAATAACATTTATAGACATTACATTTATAATTATGCCATTTTTTCCTGAACAGTTTGTCATCATGCAAAATGTGTGAATGAAATGTAACGTGAGTGAATGCATTTTGTGATATTTCTGAGAAAAGAATTTATCTTTCGCTACGCTTCATTAGGAGTGACAATTTAGCACCTCAAACGGGGTATGTTTAATTTGTCAGGTAGTGCCAATTTGCCGAACAACACACACCCACGAGAGTTGGGAAGTTTAATGTGAATTTAATTTACAACACATCTTCATATTATAGCTTTCTCACATATATCGATGTTATGTGTGTAAATATAGCGTAGTGAGAATATATTTTTACTATTGCGCAAAATTACACGTATATATACACAAAATGCCTATTTTTAGAGTAGCAATTAGGAATATATTTGGATATTAATAACACATATAAATAGGTAATGATTTGGGTGTAATAATAACGAATGATTACGTTATCTGCTTGGGAGAAGATTTCTTGGAAATTCAACATGTTTCCTTTTTGCTGTCGTCATTCTGAGAAATGATTATTTCAGCTGTTATCAATGCAGTATAATTGAGAGATATAAATTTAAAAGTTGTTCTGCGATGTCTTGTGTTTTCTGAGGTAGATTTTTCCTTTAAAATGTCAATGAATATAGAGTAATTCTAATGTGATTTATAGCGTAACGTGTGGACTAATAAATATTTATTTTTGAGTTTGTGATTCTCAAGTTCTGAGAAACTGCAAACTTTCAAACAGCTTTAAGTGAACAATCTTAAAGTGAAATGCAATAATGACTCGTTTATATGAGGTGTTCAAAATTTAATACTGACTGAACACCTGTAAAATGTACACATTTTCTTACTATATTTCCTCTAGACTTAGGCAAATATATGTTTTCACGATGTAAAATCGATATCACGGTAAAATTACTCTAGTATATGTACGTGTTGTGTTTATATAAGAAATTCACACGCAAATAAAAATTGTATTTTCTCGCGTACACATTGTAAAAAAAAAGATTATTAGATTGCGGAAAATATATGTAATTTCGGTATGTTGATATTATGATATTAATGGCGACAGCAAATATATATGTGTCACTCTCTTTTCCCCACCACAATTCGCAATGTGGCAATTTTTCTTTCAATTTCCTTACAATGTATCTTTACTGTATTTTAGATGTTTTAAGCTATTGTTATTTTTCATTATGAGTTTATATGTTTTTCTTGTGCGTCATGAAGTTCTTTTGGCTTTTTCTCTGTTGTTTTTCCTGGATGTATGAATTACAATTGTATTCTTTGGTGTTGTGTTATCTTTGCGCAATTTAGAAAATTCCACAGTTTATACATACGAATTTTTATTTTATGTACAATGCGATTTTCAGCTAGATTTTTTTTTTTTGAAACTCTCTCACACTCGCTCTTGACATTGTATAGTTGTTTGTCTTTGTAACATTCGACATGACACACGAGAGAGGTTTGCGGATTTTCTACATTATGCGGCGCTCACGAGCATGGATTTTATATCAACATGTTTTTCACAAGGTCAACAAATTTGATTCTTTTTTATCATCTTGCAAGATCCAAAGATTAGCTAATTTTATTGCAGAGTTTGCTGAGAAAGACAGAAGTTGATATATTTAGTTCTTTGACAGTAATTATTTAAATTATGTGAACATTTTCACATTTCTGACTATTTGCTTTGTGTCGCTGAATATTTGCAACACTTTTGCGCTTCAAGTATTTCTCGTTGTATCATTTTGTTGGTGTTCTTGTGAACAATTGTATGACTATTTACATATCCAACCATTTAATGAATTGTATGACTGCGTCTTAAGACGAACGGACTCATGTGATATTTGTGTTCTCATCTTCCCGTAATGCGTTCTATGGATTGAGAATAAGAAAGACTGTGTGCATTATTATTGTGGTGTAATAATCTCATGGATAAAAATGTCTATTGAAACTATTATTCATTTGATAAACAACTGTGAATTCTGTGGTTATATTTTGTATCAGGTTTTGAATGATTGAGCGTGACTGCGAATCCACATTGCGTTGTGTACTTTTCAAGCATTGTGCGCAGAAATATTTGTGGAATTTCGCCACTGATAAGACTGAGAAATCCCACCTCGTTGTAATGTTTTAATAAATACAAGACTGCACACGTAGTTTTGTGTGGGTTTTCCTCAGGATCATTCATCTTCCCAACCAATTGGCTTCACGCTGACACATGACTCGCGTTGGCGATTGTGTATCTCTGGTTTCGCTATCAACACTCTCTAGTCGTCATCGTTCAATACAATGAGAAAAGTGAGAAGATGCAGTGCTATTTTGGGCACTCGTGCAGCGTGTCTGTCTCAAAAGGACATGCGAACGTCATGGATGGAATGTCTCACTGTGGAGTTGTATGACGATTTTTGCCACGTGAGAAATCATGCGCGCGTTCTTCATCAATTTTATCCGGCTTTTATACAGTACTTTAGAGACGCACACATGTTTGATTACAAGGGCATTTTTCACGACCATTTTCTTCTACTTAGTCTCAATATCAACGTTATCACAGCGAATTTGTGCACTTTCTGTGTGTGTTTATTTTCAATTAGATTGCTAAATCCACAAAAGGGAAACTATTCTGATTATTGGAGGCGGAAGATTGAGTTTTGATTGAATCATGCTTTAGCGTTATTTTTGGTCTATTTCATTTGAAACCATTATAAAATTCACTCATTGTAGTGATTTAGTATTTTTTGAATGAATCAAATACCACACGCCAAGGTCTTTAGCCACAGAACGACGCATATTTTGGGAGAATAACACACAAAACGAGAAAAGAGTGGGGAGAAAAAAAACTTGTTTATCTATGAATTGAAAATACAGTCAACTTCACTATTTTTGCTTTTTTTTCTAAGTTCTTTTTTTCCTTCATTGCGGTACTCTTCTGGCGCTCTTTCTCTCTCTGGCTATTTTCTGCTTGATCATTTTGAACTAGTGTAGTATTTCCGGGATTTTCAGGGTTTGCAGTGAGAGAGAGAGAAAAAAGAAACTTTAAGATAATCTTGTCTTGTTGGCAAATTTTTTGCCTTCATTGCACACTCCCCCGTTGGAGGAAGAAAAAACAGAGCTCAGAGTTGACGCCACGATGAGTGTTTGATCTTTGGAGTGGAGAAACTCTCTGCGTTGTTTCGTTGGGATTTTTTGAATTGAATGGATTTCAAGTAACACTATTCTTTTGCTATTCACTTGCAGCTGGAGCAGAGAGATGTTCCCGGCATTGACTGTGCTTACCTGGCGATGGACACAGAGGAGGGTGTCGAAGTTGTGTGGAACGAAGTGCAGTTTTCCGAAAGACGAGACTTCAAATCGCAGGAGGAAAAAATCCAGCAAGTTTTCGAGAACTTAACACAACTGGAGCATCCAAATATAGTCAAGTTTCATCGGTATTGGACCGATACACATAACGATAAGCCTAGGGTAATTTTTTTTGAACATAAAAACATTGACTTCAGAGCTATTAATTTACCTGCTTCACAAAGAAAATGGATTTAATATTGACAATTACGAGAGTTTAATTGATAAAAGAAACATTATACAACTTTGCATGCAGAGCTTTTCAAAAGAACCTTTATGGCTTTTCTACAAAAAGAATTTATTGGCAACTATCAATGATGTGGAGATTGTTATGTTTTTCCTTCCATCGATTGAAGTGTATGCAAGCACTTAATAGCTCAATCGAATATTACAAGCTGTTTATTGAAGTTTACAAAGCATTTGGCTCATTTTCGTGTAGAATATACTCATGGTTAAAGTCAATTTGCGGACATTTATTTCATTTATATTTTGCGATAATGGAAAATTAGTAATAAAACGGGAAATTTGAAAAATCACTGCTCTTCATCGATAAAATAGCTCTGGGGTATAATAGTATTGACAATAAATTGTATTTCTATCTCTCGTGTGACTGCATTTTCTGATCTGATATTGTCTCTCTCTCTCCGCACAGGTAATATTTATAACTGAGTGCATGTCCTCCGGGTCACTGAAACAGTTCCTAAAACGGACTAAGAGGAATGTTAAGAAACTACCACTGCAGGCGTGGAGGCGGTGGTGCACACAAATATTATCAGCTCTAAGGTTCATATATATATATTTCTTTATATTTATTATGTCATTGTACTTGGTTTATGTATAACTCAATATGTGTTTCTTTTTTTTGTCTCTTCCACCATTACTTCATTTATAGTTATTTGCATTCCTGTTCGCCGCCAATTATACACGGCAACCTTACCTGTGATACAATATTTATTCAACACAATGGTCTAGTAAAGATTGGTAGTGTAGCTCCCGATGCCATTCACCATCATGTAAAGACATGCAGGGATAATATGAAGAATATGCACTTTATTGCACCAGAATATGGTGGTAAGCAAAGTTTACTGGTTATTTTCTTATTACTCTCTTGTCTAGTTATGGTAAAATTGCAATGAGTTATTGATATATAATTGATTTGTGGGAAAATTTATTGGTTGTAAATCTCCATTGAGATTCCATTACAATTGCTGCGCCAAGTGTGTAATAGTTGTGTGTTGGACAATAGAGTGGCGCCGTGTCTAAATTGCAGAGACACAGGAAAAAAAATAGTCTATAAAGTGTGTGAGATTCACATAGAGGCCAATTCTCTGTGTGCAATTAAATTCTATAGAAATTGATGCAAAATTGCTAATTCTATTTTCTAATAATCAATTGAGTCATACTTCAATTGATTCATAGAATTTACAATTGGATTCTTGTACTCAAAGCCGCTCGGTATTGTAGTGCACTGTTAAGCCATTCTCTATAATCAAATGGAGAATCTTCAATGAGTCGTTGACTTGCGGCTCAGAAGGTGTGGGAGGGGAAAAGGAAATGAATGAAATTCTTAGTGATAAGAGAATGGGAGTATTTCATTGCGTGGGTAATTGATGAGTTGTACTATATGAATAACCCTTCTTCTTTTGTATCTCTTTGTAGCTGCCCTGACACCTGCCATAGATATTTATTCATTTGGTATGTGTGCATTGGAAATGGCCGGCTTGGAAATACAAGGCAACGGCGATTCCGGAACACTAGTCACTGAGGAAATGATTACACGAACAATTGAAAGCCTCGATGATGCTCAACAAAAGGACTTCATCCTAAAGTGCCTGAATAAAGACCCCGCCGAACGAGATAGTGCTAGGGAATTATTATTTCATCCACTTTTGTTTGAAGTTCACTCGCTTAAGCTGTTAGCGGCGCATTGTCTAGTTGATACGGCACGTTAGTATCTCTCTGATTATTCTATTAAATCTTTCCTTAATTTATTTGCAAAAACAATGTGTGCAATGTTGTGTGGATTGAAGGAGAAATGCTATTGTGACATTTTTTCCACTCCTTCCGCTCGACATTTTTCCCCACATTCTCACTTGATTTCCTTGCAAATATCTCTGCGTGTGTTTGCAAAGGAATCGATGATTGATGGGGGATTGATGTGGAAATTGAGAGATTTCCACGATCAGTTGATCAAACACCATCATTGGGATGTGACGTTGATTTGGCGCTTTTGATTAAATTGTCACCATCAAAAGTATAGAGAGAAAGCTTTTCCCACTGTTTGTGTGGAATAAAGAATTTCTCAAGAAGCCAAATAGATCGTTTTCTCCCCTGTGAAAGAGATCAACAATAAGAAATCCTCAAATTTTTCACACAATCTGTGGGTGAAGTAGATTTTTCTGGGTGAAATGGAGGAGAAATATTGATTATTTCTTGTAATTACAGCAAATTTACAGCAAGAGCCGACAATTGACGAAGCAATGCAAAGAGTGTATAAACCCGACATTGTCCTTGCGGACATTTCTCGAGCCAATGATCCTGTGGAAGTGAGATTAGCTGATGTGCAATCGGCTGAGAAGCTGGAGAAGTTCGTGGAAGATGTGAGGTATGGATTTGATGGCTGTGTGTGTTTTGAGTATAAATCGATTAACATCTGCAATTTTTCCAGATTTGGCGTTTATCCCTTGACTGCATTTCCGGCCCAACAACCGCCGCCACCGCGACCAAGAGCTATATCACCAGAACCAACGGAGTCTGTGAAGTCAGTGACGCCAGAACCTCTAGATGTAGAAACTAGGAAAGTTGTGAATATGATGTGTAGTGTAAAGCCAAGAGAAGACAGCTGTGATCTAATGGTAAGGAGAACATTTATACTGTTTGTGTCCACAAACCACACAACATTACATGCTTATAAGAAGATATTTCGCAACCCCAATTTTGCATCCACACAAGATTATATATTTCTTTCCACACTGCGCGAGCTCTCCTTGCAAATGCATAATAATAATAATAATAATAATAATAATAATAATAATAATGCAAGTGTTGCACGACACAAGATGACTGAAGTGTGGTAGCTGTGTGGCGAAGGGAGTAGAGAACGATGATGCAGAACAGCAAGCAAGCAAGCAAGAGAGAGAGAGGGAGAGGGAGACCTTGCTATTGAAAAGTTAACGATGCATTGTAGACGTGTGCATGAGGAGTGAAACGAGATAATAAGAAGAAAACGACCATATAGAGACACAGACATATATTTCTAATTTAACAATCCATTATATCGCTCAATGAACTAAAAAAAAATGATATTTATACATTTTAATGTGCAGTGTTTTCAGATGACAATACTACTCCGGATGGATGATAAAATGAATAGACAACTGACATGCCAAGTCTCTCAAGATGACTCAGCGACGCATCTTTCGGAAGAATTAGTACATTTAGGATTTATTCATGAGGTATGGTTTAATCGCAATCCTTCGGCGATTATTCGTGATAAACACAGTGTTTTGTGTTCCTCCTGCAGACGGATCGGGAAAAAATTGCGTCGCTGATTGCAGATACATTGAGCAGCTATTTCAGTAAACTCAGCAGCGCTTTGATGCAGGGCGTCGATCCAAGCCACATGCAGATGCCTGTCCATTCGGCCAGTTAGTAGCCTCTCTCTTTATTTTTACTATTCTTTTTGCACCTCTTCTGCGACTTCTCTGCAGATTTCTTCTTTTATTTCTGACAATAAATCTTTCTATTCTGTTTGATTGATTGAGAGAGAGAGAGCAAATTTATATGTATAATGAAAAATGTAGAATTTGAATACATTTATTTGATATGTTTTATAGAGATGCAATAATGAAATTTCCGACATATTCTTTTAATCAGTGAATTGTCGCTAAAAACACTTTTTTTTTAATCTAGTTTGGTGTCAAAAAATGGGAAGAAATATCAATTTTTTATTTCATGAGTTCTTTTCTTTTCACCTGCAGATTTTTTAAAACTCTTTTCAACGATCTTTTTCTTCTTTCACTGTCCATAAACACTGTTGTTGTTTCAAGTTTTCCATATATTATATTGTCTTTTCTTCTTGCATCTTATAGATTTTCCGTAGACTGTAGAAAGAGAATGTGAGGCAAATGATAAAAGGAGATTTGTAGCAAAGTGTCTCTTAGTTTTGTACATACTTTGGCGAATGTGTGTTTTGTGTGAAGAGAGAGAGAGAAAGAGAGAGAGAAGTAGATGTGAAAGAAATTGTAGATTGAGATGAATTTGTGGCACGAATATTCCGTATGTCGTATTGCAGGTATTGAGCGCAATTGGACTGTGGCGGACAGCAACTCGCCGAGTGGCGGCGGCGGAGGGATTGCGTCTGATGGCCCGTCCACGCCCACCACCGTCTTGGCGTCTCCGGCGTCCACGAGTACATCGATCGCCGCCAATCTGGAGATTCCCGGCGGCGGCGGCGGCGTCCAGAAGCAACTGACGCCGCAGAGTGAGACACACGAGGCGAGTCAGCAAGTGGCAAACGATGTATTGTCAATGCCAACGAGAAGTGCAGCGCCGGAAAAGATGACTTATGCCGCTGAGGCGGCAATTAACACCACCATCGCACCGACATCAACAACAACCACCTTGCCGATCACCACTCAGGCGCACATCAAGAGCGTGGTGCCGCGAGGGGCTGAATGATCCGCGGCGGGAAGGCGGAAGTCGCGAAATTCCGTCACGAATGCTAGCAACAAGGGGAAAGGCCAGCAAGGTAAAAAGGATTGTCCATAGAATATGACTTTCTTCACTGGCACGAGCAGGAAGCAAAAGCAGAATTTTGCGCCTAAAACAGCTTCACACACTTTTACGATAAACGATTGTTTAGTGTTTAAATGTAAAACAAAGAAAAAGAAAAAACAGACGAAATTAATGAAACAAATATGACGAAGACGTTCAAAGAGAGAGAGCGTCTTTAAGCGACTTTGCTTGTACTTCCCATCGCGCACAAATTCGACGTTGAGACAAAATGGGCCTTTCTCCACGACTTTCGCAATTTCCATCCTTCCCTGGCAGTCAGAAAGAAGGTGGTTTAGACATTTAGATTAAGAGACATTTTAGGCAAAGTCCTTAAATCAAACAATATCTTAAACATGAATGAAGTGAAGTTTGAAAGAAAAAATTCACTACAAGCAAACTTGATTGTTAATAATAGAAATGAACGAAATGCAAAGAGGGAGAGAGAAAGAGAAGGGAAAAAGTAATGATGCAAAAATCGAATGAATAGGCATGAATATTACCAAAAAAAAAGAAAAGAAGGGAGAAAAGAAAAGTTCATTAAACTCTGCACAAGTGTATAAAGACATTGTGAGAACAAAGCATTACTGTGTCGATGATTCACGCCCAATTCTTGCACACAAGTTTGCGAAAAGAACTTTCTCAGAGAGAGAAAGAAAGAGACTTTATTTTGCCCAAGAGAGAGATGATCTTCATTGCGACCAGTTTTCACTTTGTAGATAGAAGGCAATGTTACAATTTATCCGAAATGTCTAAAAAAACACTATCAGTGCTATTTCACATGAAAGTGTTACTGCGTGAGAAAGAGAGAGGGAGAAAAGAGGGAATGAGAGGAGTTTTAGAGATGTTAAAAAATGCGCTGTGAGCACAAAATACATATTTTGTAATGATTGCAAAAAAATTATGAATTTTGAAATGTGAAGAAACACGATAACGCAATTTCCTTAATTCCTTTCCTTTCTGCATTAGGATTCTGAACAGGATTTAAAAAAAAAACTTGATTATTTTACTGTCCGAGAAAATACTTTTTGAACACATTTTATGACTAAAGTTTCCTTCCGCAAACTTGATTTTTGTTAGAAAAATGAAAGAAAACACACTTGAATATGAAAATACAGGGGGCGAGGCTGTGCAGATCATTGGAAAAGTATAAAAAAAAACTAGAGGAAATCATTGGATAAAATGTAGAAGATTTTATGTGGAAAAATTTGCGAGAAAACGATTGAGACCAAAATTTCGACTTGAGATCAGGAATGAAATATTTCGAATTTTTAAACCCTAGTCTCGCACCCTTCAAAAAAATAAACACGAGTTTTGAAAATATTACAAAAAGACAACATTTATACTTCTGCAGAATACTTTTCTCATTGCTTCTAATTATGATTTTTACACACAGTGAAAGTGAAGAAAACAGAATCGATATTATTTAATGGTATAGAATGAAGAAAACACTTTATCGACAAAGAGGTGGAAAGAATACATAAAACATTAAATGTAAGTTAGTTGGATTTTGTCCGAATATCAATTTCGTTCAAATGGAATTTGATTAGCATCCATATTTAAAATAGGAAGATAGAGAGAGAGAGAGAGAGAGAGAGAAATGTTAGTAAAAAAAAAGTGGATTTGTCAAAATTCTTCACGCGACTGAGTTGTTTTTCCTTTTTCTACAAAGAAACTCCCATTTATTTGATGTATTTTTTATTAGTTTATCAATTAGAAATAATTTTATACACTTATATATTCATATATATCTATATATATATATATATACATCAGTTTTATTTCTGCACTAGAGCAACATATTTTCCAACTGCCATAGAATTTTTTTAATTTACAAAATTACAGAAGAATTTCAGTGAGAAAAAGGAAATTTTTTTTTAATTTGTGCAAATTGAGCCTTCTTGAAAACGAACGTAATAAAAATTCATACAGCAAATAGAAAGAAAAGAAGAAGAAGAAGTAAAAAAAAACAGAGAAAGAGTAGAAATTTGGAAAATATCCAATTCTCAAGCCATTTGTAAAGTAAAAGTGAAAAAATATGTATTAAAGTATAGGCAAAATTAAAACCAACAAACATATAAAATGTGGAAATAGCACGTAAAATATTAGACCTTACAGTAATTTCATTGTTAACGGGAGGGAAAGAGTGAGAGAAAGAGACGCAAGAACATCAGAACGAAGTGTAGAAAACTGAGAGGAAAAGTGAAGCTTAGTGCAAAAGCTAGTCATATCGAAGAAAATCCCAAAAATGTTCATACGCAAAGGCAGTAGATGCTAGTTTACGTAATTATAAATGATAAAGAAAAAATGATAGTAAATAGAGGAAATAATAGTGAATATGAATATATATTTTATATATGTGCGCGCGTGCGTGAGTGCAGAAGGCATATGCATAATGTTGACACGGAGAATAAGAAAAAAATCACACTATGAATTAATCTTTAAAGAGTAATTGTGAGAGGAGAGAAAACATTTTGCTATATTCTTTTTCTACGAAAAGCGCGTGTGAAGAGAGTGTGAGTCATTGGTGACATGTGTGAGAGAGAGAGAGAGGGAAAAAGGAGGAGATAAAAAAACTATATCTTGCACTATTCGGAGTCCAGGCAAAGAAATTCGTTCGTTTGGCAAATTTATACATCTTTTTTTGTGTTTTTAGAGAGATTATTGATTTATTCCCATGGAAAATTACCTGAGAAATTTTGTAAATTGACGAAATATTCCAAATACCAAAATTTGCGTGTGTTCTTGCTTCACTTGTAATAAACAACAACAACAACAAAAAATTCTTTATATGTCATAAAGGAAATCAAAAGAATAATTGTATTTTGACTTATTGTTTTATGTTTTATTTTTTTTTGTATATTTGTTTCATTAGTTAATTCTTTTATGATAATATTATATTGTAAGCTTGCAAGAAAAAAAGGATATTTGTGTCCCCCCAAAAATCGCCCTGACGCATTTCAATTTAACAGATTAAAAGAAGAAGAAGAAAGAAAGAGAGAAAGAAACAAGAGAAATCCCCTTTTAATAATACTCAATTTTTCATTATGATTAAGATGAGGAAAATGGTTATTTGTAAATATGAGGAAAATTATATTTAGCTTCTAAAAACTTCTAACATGAAAGACGAGATGCGACACGACAAATTGCATGTCTAATGAAAAGATGCTTCTTGTAATAGGACAACAAGGGAGAGAGAGAGAAAGAGAGAGAGAGACGAGGCAAAAGATTATATTATATAAAGCTTGTGGAAAGAATGTCTTTTCTCTGTTGTATTTTCACATCTTCTCATCCTTCTTTCGGGATCTTGTTGCGAGTTGGACGATGTTGTGCGTGCGTGCGTGAGTCTGTCGCGGGCGAAGAGCGGCGGCGGCGGCGGCGGCGGCGGGAAATAGTTGTAGAAAGTATGCCTATCTGAGACTGACGTATTTGTAATAGCATGAAACATAAGAGAAAAAAATAATGAATAAGAATGAAATGATTAGAAATTCAATTAAAATGTACATAGAAGATGAAAAAGAGAGTGGAGAAGAGAAGATGAGATGAACTTTTGGAAGATGCGCGCGAGAATGAATGAGAAACATGGCAAGAGAATGTCAAGAGAAACATTGATTTTCCGATTTGATTTTTCACACCAAACTTCTCCTATAAAAAATATTCTACTTTCCTTGTCAGCGCCAATAACAAGATGTAGAGAATAAAAAAAGAACGAGTCTTAAAGTAAATTTGAATACAATATTAAGAAGAAAAAAAGCAAAAAGATGCGAAGTTGTATGTTGATAAAAGCCTAAAAAAAATTCAGATGTTTGCTAATATTCATTGCATATGATGAAAAAAAAACTAAATAAATGGACATTACATTATTCTATTGTAGACGCAAGAATGCAAAAGGAAACGAAAGAGTGAGTGAGATGGAAGGAAAAGTGATAATTTTTTAGTAAGAAAAATACTTACATATTTTTTATATTTCTGCATTAATTAAAAATGGAATCATGATGAAAAATAGAAATGACGTTAGGAAAGAAAGTTAGAAGATTACAACAAAACTCATGCAGAAAAGGGACGAAACACAATTTTTTTTCCATTCAAGGCTTATAATTTGTTTGTTTTCCCACACAAATCCTGCTCGCAAAGGAAGAAAAAGATGGAATGAAAAACTGCGAAGCAGCTTTTAAGATGCACAAAAAGTACTGAAATGAAACGAGAAGGGAAACGTTTAAAAAAATCATTTTTACGTATAAATTGCTGACAATTTTCCCAAAATTGCATCTTGTGAAAATCAAGAGTGTGAATCGGTAAAATTTCCAGCATTGATGACTTGCAGAGAAAGAGAGAGAGAGAAATTTGTTTTTTGAGGATTGAAGGCATTGCGAAGGAAAGGCGCGTTTGATGAAAGGAAAATAAGAAGAATGTTGATAATATTTAATGTATTCTCTTACAATTTTATTTTCTTTCTTTTCACAATGAGGAAGGGTGAATTTAAGAAATATGCTTGCATTTATCCACTATATATTTGTCCCTTTTATTGATGATGACAGAGTAAAAGAAGGAACAACATGCATAGAAACTATTGTAATTCAACATTCAGGAGAAGAGGAAAAGGACAGCTCTTAATATTTATGTAAAATTTGACGAATAAAAATGACTTCATAAAGTATTGTGCCCATTTGTGAATTCTAATTGCATTTACTTTTTCTTTTGAAAAGCTCAGCGCGCGCGCATTGTTGGGATATTTTTATGGCTTCCATACTATAAAATGGCTGCGCCGCAGAGTTTCAGCCACTTGACGGCGCTGACATCGTCGTTCTTTCCATTCTCATTCTTCGTGGAGTGCATTTCGTCTGCGACGGAAAATGGTAATTTCTCTAAATATATTGTGAAATTCGGGTGTTTTTCAGTAATTATCGCATTATTGAAGTTACTTAGAACAACTGTGTGATAGAATTATTGTGAAAAAAGGGATATTTTGCGAGAAAAATGGGAAAAGAAAATGTCACCACGTGGCTTTGCATTTAAACTACATTTTTCTCAGAGTTTCTCCTCAATTTTCACTATTTCTCTTGATTTCTCTCTTTGCAATTGCAATGTGATTACTTGATTCAATGTTCTGTGTCAGGAAATTGGAGAAATACCATTGAAAATGTGGAAAATACGATATCTTACTGACATAACCTCACTTGCAGTCTCACCGGAAATTCTCAGCGCCTCGCCATGGCTCGATGGCATTCTACCCCAAGAAGCGCTCTGCGCGTCATCGTGGCAAGGTCAAGGCGTTCCCCAAGGACGACGCTTCGAAGCCGGTGCATCTGACGTGCTTCATCAGCTACAAGGCCGGCATGACGCACATCGTGCGCGAGGCTGATCGTCCGGGATCCAGTAAGTGTCGCTGCATTGCCTGAAAGAAATGTCTTCTGAAGTGATGATATTTATGCACCTGTGTACAAACCCCTGATGCTCTGTGATGCTTAATTCGTTTAGCGACGAGCGGACTGAAGATTTAAGCCACAAATCAAGCATCTTCTCTTTGGGAGCACATTTAACGGTGGATTTCTGTTCTTTTTCCCCTCAGAGATCAATAAGAAGGAAGTTGTGGAGGCCGTGACTGTCCTGGAGACTCCGCCGGTGATTGTTGTGGGCGCCGTGGGCTACATTGAGACTCCCTTCGGCATGCGCGCGCTGTCCACTGTGTGGGCGCAGCACTTGTCCGAGGAGTGCCGCCGTCGCTTCTACAAGAACTGGTAAATATGCCCGAAAATCACTCCTTTTCATTCTGAGACTAATGAGTGTCAACAGCTCTTGGATCAATTTGAGAGAGCTTAAAGTGTGTCTGGCTGCGTGATGCCCTTGAAAAGTCATCCCTTCGCGGGTGGACGTAAGAGTTTGGCGAACACAGCGAAAGAGCTCGATCCTCCGCTCAACTGAAGAGGTTCACTCTTTTATCTCTTTCCTAACCACTCCGGCTTTCCTTTCGCCCCCGTTTTGAAGGTACAAGAGCAAGAAGAAGGCCTTCACCAAGGCGTCCCGCAAGTGGGCCGATGATCTGGGCAAGAAGGCTATCGAGAATAACTTCAAGAAGATGGCTCGCTACTGCAAAGTCATCCGCGTCATCGCTCATTCGCAGGTGAGTTTGAAGCTGGATTTAGTGGTTAAGTTGCGTGACATCCTTGATCGACTGGAGAAACTTCTCCGGTGGATCTAAAATACGGATCGGTGCTGGCACTCAATTCAGCATCTTGCCGTAGTGTCGCAGAGCAAACTGCCCTTCGGGTGGCGGTGCTTGATATATTCCTTAGGCCCTTTGAAGCCGCTCAGGCCATGATCAAGGCGTCAAACCATATCACGTACATTTCCTCATCTATTCTTGCATTTGAATCGTTCCTGAATAGAGTTTGGAAGTGACATATTTCTTGGTGTTTTTGCAGATCAAGCTGATCAAGCAGCGCCAGAAGAAGGCGCACATCATGGAGATCCAGCTGAACGGCGGCAGCGTCGAGGACAAGATCAAGTGGGTGAAGGAGCATCTGGAGAAGCCGGTGCCGGTGAGCGAGGTGTTCGCCCAGGACGAGATGATCGACTGCATTGGTGTGACGAAGGGCAAGGGCTTCAAGGGTGTCACGAGCCGTTGGCACACCAAGAAGCTGCCGCGCAAGACGCACAAGGGTCTGCGCAAGGTGGCTTGCATTGGCGCCTGGCATCCGAGTCGCGTGTCCTTCACCGTGGCGCGTGCTGGTCAGAAGGGCTACCATCATCGCACGGAGATCAACAAGAAGATCTACCGCATCGGCGCTGGAATCCACACCAAGGACGGCAAGGTGAGCACTTCTTGCACGGATTCTTTGCACTGAATTCCCTCTAGATTCAATGATGACAATACATCAAGAGCCAAAGATGATAATCGGATTCATGCGTGAAGACAAATGATAGGCCTGAAACCATCAATATCCACAATAGAGACATTTGTGCAGAGAATCAGTGGTTAACAGAAGTAATGTTCGTCTTTGCAGCTGGTGAAGAACAACGCCTCGACGGAGTACGACTTGACGGACAAGTCCATCACGCCGATGGGCGGATTCCCGCACTATGGCGAGGTGAACAATGACTTCGTGATGATCAAGGGGTGCTGCATTGGGCCGAAGAAGCGCATCGTGACGCTGCGCAAGTCGCTGCTGGTGCACTCGAAGAGGTCGGCGCTGGAGAAGATCAACCTCAAGTTCATCGACACGTCGTCGAAGATGGGCCACGGTCGCTTCCAGACCACGGCCGACAAGGCGGCCTTCATGGGACCGCTGAAGAAGGATCGTATTCGCGAGGAGAAATTGCTCGCCGCCGCTTCCAAGACGGCTTAAATGTGCGCAGATCTTGATTAATAAAGAGATCCAGGAATAACAATTGTCTTTTACTGTCCGGGAGTTTTTTCTTTGCTTGCGCGCTTTGGATTGAGGTTATGTTGAGCTGTCAAGTGCGTGCGCGAATGTCTGAGCACGAACGAGTGTTTATCCCGTCCGGGATGTTCACCTTCAAGCTGGGCGACTCCTTCGGCAGCTACAGTGAGCTGGAGGAGCGCCTGGAGGCGCACAGCAAGGAGAGCTTCGTCACGTACTGGCGTCGGGACACGAGAACTGTGAAGGGGGCGCACAGGAAGACGTCTCGGCCGATCTCGAGCAATCTCATTTACTACTCCCTGCGCCTGGCGTGCGTCTTCGGGGGCCAGAAGTTCTCCCCGCGGGGCCAGGGGAAGAGGAGCTGTCAGACTCTGCGATCTGACTGTCCGGCCTACATTACGCTGCGCGCCTCGAAGTGTGGCCAGAAGCTGGAGGTGATTTCCGTCTGCAATGCCCACAATCACGAGCTGTCGGAGAGACTGAACAAATCCCTGCCGCAGAACAGGAAACTGCCGCCGGACATGAAGGAGGAGGTGCTGCTGCTCCTCACCACGGACGTGACGAGGGTCTTTGTCATCGAGTACATCCGGCTGAAGACGGGGAAGGAGCTGACGAAGAAGGATCTGTTCAACATGGCGGCCACGTCTCGCCGGAAGGACGACAAGAGAGTGAATTCGCAGGCCAGAGTGGCGGACGCGATGAACAATATGAAGGCATTTCTGCTCAAGCACTCGCCCATGTATCAGCGGATGCAGGAGGAAGCGTTGCGGAGCAAGGCGACCCAGGATTTCGAGGATTCGGAGGACTCAATCACGTGTGTGGATCCCGAGAGGGAGGAATCAATTGTGGTCTCGTCGGCAGAGTCGGAAATTGACATGGAGCAGCAGTACGAGTTTCCTTCTGGCCAGCTGATTGGCTCTGAGAACTCCTCAATACTGGAGATCATGCGCGAGACTCCGCAGACTGGCCAGTACGTGGAGTACATCGTGGAGTCGCCAGAGCAAGTGTACCGGGATGAAACGCCTGCGAACACAGACATCATTCAGTTGGCGCCGGAAAAGGCCAGACGACGGAAGCGCTGGAAATCCTCTAGCTACTGCCGCTGCAGATGCTCCTCACTGAAACTGCTGGAGCTGAAGATGAAGTTCCTGCGAATGAAGTGCCGGAAGATGCGTCTAGTTGTGCAGGAGTTGGAGATGAGAAAGAGACAATTGTCGAGGGAAAATCAGCAATTTCTACTTCAGGTTTAGATCTACAACCAACTGAAAGAGGTTGTCCAGGAGCTCCCTATCCATCAGCGCCGACTTGGATTGTCTCGTCACTTCCTGACACAGATCTTCGGTTTGAATTACTCGCACAATTTCCTGGGAAAGCTGTGAGAAATGAAATGAGTGAGAAAATTACACAATATGGACTTGTCTTTTGATACCTTTCCGATGTCTTTCAACACTTCGCTCTGTTTGTCATCTGATTTGTGACTCTTGGCAATTTCATCTGCACTTCCGTTGACGCCTGATGACTTTGGGGCGCTCATCAGACGATCACGATTTGTCTTCATGTCCTCGCACAGGTGATTCAGCTGAAGATACATTTCTTTGCAACTTTCTGGGCTGCCTGTTGTGTTCTTGCTCCTCATGAAGACTTCCTGGCCTCTTAGCTTTCCCCCCGAAGACTTTCCTCCAGCACTTCGCGACGCTTGGCGTGATGTCAGTGTCTCAAAAGCGCCGGTAATTTTCATCAACATTACAGAATTATCCTCGTCAATGAAATCACTGCACTCTGTTCCTTGCTGAGCCTTAGTAGATGCATCCCTGAAATCATTTGTAATGACGGGAAAATGCTGCCACTTGATCAAGAGATCGTCCTGATGATTCCAATTCATTTTCAAAACACACCATTAAACTGAAACACTGAAAAATGTTCTGTGCAATTCGCCATTCGGCCATTTTATAGCATGGAAATTTCCCCTTTCCTATAACTGCTACTTTCACGCTGCTTTTTGCATTACCTTTTTCTCTTTACTGAAGACTTGTGTTTTTCTTTTGATAATGCCACAGAAGACGAGAAGATGTGAACAAACCAAAGCCCAGAATCTCGGCAGAAAAATTGACGTACTTCCAGAGAAAGATGAGACAATTTACGTGCGGCGTTTCGCAACGGTCATTCAAATTGTGGATTTTCCCACCATTTCCCAGCCGCGTGTGCTTATCGAACGGTTTTCCAAGAAGCACTTTTGTAAATATTGTTGAAATGGAGGCGAAAAGTAGTTCAAGCCGAACAACTGGAGTAAATATACAGTAAAGATGGGAATTCCCAGAGTGGTGACAATTTAGCGAGAAAGCAGCGAAATTGATAAGTATATTTTATTCCCCACACGCGCGCCAATCTTTTGCCGAATTGGTTTTCCTCCCAAAAGCAACAATTCCCCCTTGCACGCTCACACAGAAAGAATCCATGAATGAAAAGTCTTATTAAAAGTCTCACTTGAGCGCGACTGAGAGTTCAGTACAGCAAAACCCGTTCCTGTGGTAAAACGTGTCTCTCGTGCGCTCACATCATCGCGCTGAGTCACTTGTTGAAGTGCTGTAATAAATTGGGGATTGGGAAAAAGAGTGCGAACAATCATGAAACTGTGCATTAAAATTGTCACTTTGGTCGCTTGTGTCGTGAAATTTCACGCATGTGCCGAAGATGCGAGGCCAATTGATGAGTCCCTCTTCGATTTCACGCGAAATCTGCACCAGGAAAAGTCTCCCAGTGACACGACGGAGAATCTCGTTCTCTCTCCACTCGGGTTTAACCTCTTGCTGGGTCAAATCGCAGCCGGAGCGAATCCCGTTCTCGCTGAGGCGATTGGCAAATTTTTGGGATGGAACAAGACAAACCTGACCGACATTATTGACCACCACGAGCGACTTCTTCTGACCTACAGCAGTGCCAAAGACGATCAAGATTCACTGCAAATTCATATCAATTCGGCACTCTTCCACCGAGAATACATCAATATTCAGGAGGAGTTCAGGGAATTGCTGCAGAAGCACTACAACACCGAACTGATAAGCCTGCGCGAGAAGTAAGACAATCAGGACAATAACTACAATTTACGCGCTTTTGCATTCCGTGCTTTACTTGTTTACTTATGCAAATTTCCCCGAGATGACATCAAGAATATTTATCGATGCATTTATTCACTGGCGGGCAAACAAAGGTTTAACGTCTTTGGAAAAACCCACGGTGAATTGTCTGATGAATGATTAGAAATATCGTCACAATATGCAACTTTCAATAACACTTTATGACACTTTTTTCTCTTAATAGCCGTGTAATTGCGTGTTCAGTTTCTATTAATTTCTATAAGAATTTATTACTGTGGTCTGTGGTATTTTTCTTTGGAAAGAATTCAAGTTATTCATCATTTACGCCGCACATTTATATTTTTTTTTTAAAATTGTCCTAAAATTTGTAGTCTTTCGCATAAAAGGCCTCTTTGATAAACAGATTAATTCTAGAATTTCAAGATTTTCCTAAAATATTCTTAGACAGTGAATAAATTTAATATTTGTCATATTTTTTTTAATAATTTCACTTGAAAGCTTTAGAAATCAATTTATGGAAAGTAATATTTTCACTTTTTCTCCTAACTCGCAATATTTCAGTTAAAATTTCAATAAAAACCAATGAAATGAGCTAAAAAATGCACAAAATAATTATTCTAGAGCAATTTTAAGGCTTTTATGAACGGTTTAGTTGGTATTTGAGGTGAATTTGACAAATTTCGAAGCGATATTGAGGCTAAATTTTCAATTTGCGCTCCTGCAATTTATCCCTCATTTAATGGTAATTAATTGCTCTTTTTCTTCCTCTTTCTCAGTGCCACCGACAGGGAGAATCAGAAGATAGTGAATGACTGGGTGAGGAATGCCACTGAGAGCGTGATAAAGGATTTTCCTCTGTCTGCAAACGCCATTGCACTGTTCGCCAATGTTGTGTACTTCAATGCCAACTGGCAAGAGCCATTTTCGCATCAACTCACGCGCAAAGGGCAATTCTTCAGCACACCGGAAAAGATACAAAATGCCACGTATTTGATGGGTCAGCAGGACATTCTGTACATGGAAGAGCCGCAGATGAACTTCAAGATGATTCAATTGCCGTACAATTCGTCAAAGTACAACATTTCCATGTACATTCTGGCGCCGCAGAAGCACAATCTCAGGGAAATCATCACGCAAATGACTCTCGAGAAATTCCTGATGTACAAAGCCAAAATGACCCTCAAGACGGTGAACATCAAGATGCCGAAGTTGTCGCTCAAGTCAAAGATTCACATCAAAGACACTCTGGCGAAATTCATGGACAATTCGACGCATGAGGACTTCTTCGCCCTCAGCAAAGTGTCCAGCGACTCGAGGAGTGTTCTCAGTGACGTCGTGCAAGAGTCCACGTTCAATGTGCACGAGAAGGGAACGACTTTCGCCTCCTTATCAGCTGGCTATATCAATTATGACGGAACCGCACGGAATTGTCGTGTCGACAAGCCCTACTTGGCCATCATCTTGGACGACACGACGAATGTTGTCCTCTTCTGGGCCAGCATTTATCAACCAATTGTCAACAGCAAGAACTGAGACTTTTACCACTTCTATTTAAGTATTTATACTCGACTTTTAGTTATTAAATAAAAATGCCATATAATCAAAAATTGAACGTCTTTGTGGTGAAGAGAATTCTTGATCCATTTCCAGTCCTTTCGGACATAATTTCAAGTCTTTTTAGACATTATTAAATGGGAAAATAATAGTTTATTGAAATTGTTTTTGTTTTTACTAAAGAAATACTAAAATTTACTTATTATCGTTCTGTCTAGGAAATCGAGTTAACGCCTTGGTGGGTTTTGCATAGATTCAAGAAGAGTAACAAAAATAACTCAATATTGCGGAAAAGCTCTTCAGAAGTTGTAAATCAATTAATTTCCATTTCATTGTCTGCAATTCTCTTTCACTTCTCAATGACGTGGATTTCCTCAGAAGCGCATAATTGCGCAACAAATTGCACTCTTAGCATTTTACATAAGATGTGATCTTCCTGTGCGTCCTTCTGCATGTGACGGGATGTCACGAGAGAGTGCGTAGGACGGAAAAAGAACACATTTCCCACTCAGAGACAGCGTCACATGCAGCGCAAAGGAGTATAAAAGGCCAACAGCTATACACAAACTCTTCAGTTCTTCGTGATTCGTGCAAAGGATTAGACCGAAGGATTAGAAAATGGGACTGTCGAAGGCTTATCTTTTAGTTTTGTCTCTGGCCTTCTGCCTCTATTGCTTCCCACGTGTTATCCTTGGCTCGGCAATCAGTGTGGATGGTTTCAATTTGTATAAAGGTCAGGATAAAAAAAAACAAGAAATTTCTTTAGTGAATTTTCACACTCAAAAAGTCAAATAATCTTCATGCAGATCTTCTCCGTGGCAAAAATGATGAATTCAATGAAATCAGTGACGATGAAAATGGAATAGCACGCGTTATTTGTATGTAAAGTCAAAGTTAAGACGTGGAAAAGGCTCTTAAAAGCACTTCTTTCAGACTTCTATCGCACTCCAGCCGCGACTTACACAGAATTCGCCAAGGAGTTCGATGCAGAAGGACTCGGAAAGAGATCTAGCAAATACAGGAGTATGTAAAATGTGGTGTGAGTTGCGAATTGTGCTGTAAATCGGTGTTAAATTGCAGATTTCATGCTGAACAGAGAAGGACAGGATGATCCTGAGGACATTGTCAATCCGAGCAAATTCTACTTTCCGCGCACAATGCCCAAGAGAGGAGCCCTGCTCAGCTGGGCCATTCCGGCGGCGAATAGAGTGTAATCACGTGCAGACTAATAAGTGAACGATTGACTAAATTTTGATCCCTTTCAGCCGCGTCGGCAACTCGAGTTATCGCCCGCCAGGGATAAACAGGCCCGCTGCAGCCGAGTAATGACATCTTGCAAGAACACGACAATGCAACGCAAGACACAAACAGCAACGAATCTGGACAATGAAGCCAGATAAATGATTGTTTTTCTTCTGTGGGTTTCTCTTTTGCTGCTCTTTTACCCTAATAAACAATTTTGTGATGTGGTAAACTAACTCACGAGGAGGTTTTATTTCATCACTCAGTCTTTGATTTCTCAGCTTCTGACGCTTGCCTTTTGCTCCAGGACTTCCTGATGGCATTCATGGACATCAGCACGGGAATCAGGACTGGCAAAAACAACGGAATGTAGATGGCGTATCTGGAAGGAAAAAAAAAGATTCTCAATCACAGAAATTCACAGATGATTTTTTCACGCACTTTTGCTCATCTGGAAAGTAAAGCAGAGCCAGAAGACTGGGATCGAAGAATGCCGTTTCTGAGGCTTCATGTGCTTTCTTCGCCAAATTCACCGCCAAATGCAGATCGTTGGCCTTGAGAGCCGTCAAGGCTTTCACGATATTGCGATAAGAGTCCTCGACGGCCTGACCGACGGCATCATTGATGACAATGTAGCTGATGTCCTTGAGCAGACTTGTCAAGGAACTGAGCGTGACGATGGAGGATTGGATGAGATGAATCGCGCTGTTTCTCATGTACACATCAACTTCCCATTTGCGAGGAGAAATGCTGGTGATCTCAGTCATGGTCGCCTCGCTTATGGGAATCTGGCGAGAAGAAATCAAAGACAAAAGGGATTTATAAATAACAATATCTTATTAATTAATTATGATTCATTGTTGTAACTGAACGTCAAATCGACACGGAAAATGCCGCCCTCCTCCTCATCATCCACGTCCATATCCACATCATCTACTTCTTCATCATCTTGCGCAAAGCCATAGAATGAAGATTCCTCAGACAAGCAAGAATCTTCAAATTCACTGTGTTCCAACAAATAGTGTGGACAAAGCCTTGAAAATTCTGAATCACAAGACACTGTCTGGTCTGTCGATGAAGATGAATTGATTGATGAAGAGCTGATGTCTAGAAATTCGAGCAGAGCAGGATTTTCTTCCCAGGCTTGCCAAAAGATGTCCTCCCATTCCATCTCTCTCTCATTCTCCTCCAGATTCTCCAGCATAAGAGATCGCACATCACGATACTCCACCCAAAAGTTATCTCTTGGCGCCATTCAATTGTATTTCCTTCTTCCAGAGTGAGTTGAATTTCGTCTTACTTCCAAATCTTTCCACAATTTCCGAGATTGTTTAGCACAATGAAAAAATGTAGCTTTGATTTGATTAATGAATGTAGGAAATTTTAAGAAAATGATTCATTTGAATCAAAAATTTCATCAATAAATTCTTCATCCTCCCAAATGTGCTTGTATTCCTCATCAACGTTCATCGACACATTCTCTTCTTCATCATCTGCATGATTGCCTGAAGAGATTGAAGATTCATCCATGAGACAGGAATTTGATCTTGAATCTTGTGATTCTGAGCTTGAATGCCAAGATATGGCAGAGGTGTTCATAATAGTATTGCTTGACAAGTTCGTACTGGAAGTTTCGAAAGGAAAAGAATCTTCTTGCATCTCTGCCCAAGCTTCTCTCACGATATCCTCCCAATTCGTATGTTCTTCATTTTCCAGAACATCCTCCATAGATTGCTGGAGTGCTTGAGAATGCACCCAAAGAAAGGTTCCATCCAACGGAGCCATTATCAGTTCGTGAAGAGTTGAATTTCATTTGTTTCTTCCTCAATTTTAGCGTCTAACTTGGATTTGTAGATGGAGAAAATTCATACTCACATCGACATCGATGTCCGTCAGTTTGCGCAGCAAATAGAGCAGCGTGAGGGAAATCTCATTGGAATTGATGACAACGTCCACCTTCTGTTGATCCTCCATATACTTCACACAGACGCGCTCCGCCGGATTCGCAATCACAATTCCGCCCCACTTGGGCGACAGGAAGGCATCGATGTTGTTCAGCGTCGCTCGCTCGCGCTTCTTGTTGTAAATATACACTGGCGCCTTGCTGCACGGCGGCACATAGACGACCAGCTGGAAGCAGGGATTGTTCGATATCTCGTGACCGATGTTCTTCTCCACGGCTGTCACAATGTGCGGCAGCGAGTCTTCGTCCAGTGCAAAGTGCCTCTTCAGCGTACTGTTGTCGTGTATCTGCTTGGATGAGTACTGAAAAGGCACTTGATATTTCCACTGCGTCTTCAGCGTGAAGTTCGACAAGACGCTGATCTCATTCAGAAACGGAGTAATATAATCTGTTGGACAAAATTGCAAAGGTGAATTACAATCTTATCCTCTATATTTTATTATCATTAACATTGTGACTCACTTTCGGCAGCATAGCGAACATTCCACTTCACATTCTGCAGATCCGGACGTGGATTCATGATAGTGATGAGGATGTCATAGTGCGACTGAGGAGCGGCCGTTTTGTGCCTCAGCGCTTTACTGTTATTCCTGCTATTCAGGATGCTCTTGATCTTGAACTCTTGGAATATCCACGTCTTCAGAACCTGAGCAATTTTCGTTGAAGTCGTTCCAGGTGCAATAAATGCTGTCCTGTCTGCAGTCACGACAATCGATTCCTTCTCACTCAGTTGAGACCACTCAGCAAAGAGGAATTCACCCACTTTCACAGGATATCTCTGCAGGATCTTATTCTCAAGACTGGCCGGAGTTTTTACACCAGCAACTTCATCCTCAGACAGTGAAATCGCCTTGAAGTCTACTGTTAGAAGCGCTGTAAAGACACAAAAAGAGCTTTTAGGAAAACATTCATCACATTGCGTGCCATTTGGCAACTTACAAGTGTTCAGAAAGTATCCTTGCAATTCTCCAACCAACAGATTTGCCCTCGAAATGTCTTTGGTGTAGATGAAAATTGAGGAAACTGGTCTGATTGGCGTGTCATGCAGTTCATTGATGCCTTCATATGGCAAAGAAACTCGATAAACTTCAGTCGTTTTCCACCACATCGGCACGCCGATGCCAATGATCACCACGATGAACACAGCAGAAGCGTAAATTTGGTACTTATCTGGAAAGAAATCGAAAATCCAATTATCACAAGTGAATAGGAATTGATGAAAGACTAATCAAGAAAAGGAAAATTTACAAAACTCCTTGAAAACTTCGTATTATTCTTTGTAACTGCAAACAACAATGTAAACATATTCATCTCCCAATCGCAGATGTTTGCTAACATAAGCTCCAAATCGAGCCATATCGGCATTTCGGTAGACTAAATTGAGAGCTCCACGCTTTGGCTGAATTATCAATGGTCCTTCGTCCACATCCTCATCCTCTTCGTCACTCATCGCACTCTCCTCTTCAATGGCATTGACATTCTTGCCCTGAGCAACATAGATGTAAGTTCCAGCTTCGGCAAAGTCATTCAGATATAGAATGGCATCTAGAATGCCTCCTTCTTCCTCATTTGCACTCTTTGCAGCGGAATTCACCAGCATTGTGTAGCATTCGGGCTTCCAGCGCTGAATCTCCAGGAAACACTTTGGCGTCTTGGCATTCTTGCCGGACAAATCAAGTTCTGTGTATTCATAGAGCAAATGGAAGAAGATTTTCGACTGCACAAATTCCACCAATTTGTTCGTAATGCCAGAAACTGTAGTCAGAGATTTAAGATTAAGACTCTCACAGTTTCTCTCACAAGCAGAAGATGTTCTTTCCCAGACAATGTGCGGCAAATCACTCTTCAACTCCTCCAAAATCGACTGCAATTTGTCGAGAGCGAGAAAATCTTGTAGAGATATTTGGGATTGCTCTTCAATGTGATTCTGAATGGTCACTTTGGTCTTTTTCTTCAGATACTCCTCCTTAATCCAGTCAGATAGTCGAAAAGGCTGATCAATTGGTGGATTCTGAATGCCTTCATCCCAAGTGGAAGCACTCTCGGCAATTGGATGCTTCTTTCCGGGACCGTGAAACCAGCCATTGATGGTCACTCGTGGATAATCAAAGGAGAGAACCTCTCCAACTTGATGCCAGGCTTTGGAGTTGACGTGAAAGAAGACAAATTGATTGTTGCGCGGCAGAATTTTCTCCACCGGCGGAAAGTGCGGATAATTCTCCGAATCTTCCTTGAACACTTCCAGAGCACCACCCATTGACTCTGTCCAGACCTTCGCTGAGTCCCACGGAGACAAGTAGAAGACATACGCAATCCTCCTGTCCGAGACGCAGTCGTTGTGAATCAGAAGACGATCTCCGGTGTTGTACAGCGAACAAGAGGCGGAAATGTGTGTCAATTTCTCTCCCGTCAGCTTCTGCATCCACGCCATGATCTCTTCCCCCAAGTACTTGTGGAATTCCATGAGATAGTCAGATATCACTGATGATAAGTCGGGGGATTGATGAAATTCCAGGAAATCCGTGTGAAGACGTTTCCACTCGACTTCATTCACAATTTCATGCATCAAATTCTCAATACATTTCCCCTCAGATGTGAAATCCTGGAGAGTGCACAGCTTGAATGGATAATCCCTCAAGTGAATCCCACCACTGTCATCCTTGTAAGACACATCCTGTGACCAGGCAGTCAGGAAGTTCTTCGCAAACTCTTCACTCTGGTATTTAGAATTCAACTTGAACAGTGACTCCTGTTTTCGCATTTTGCTAGTCGATGAGTGATCGTCGAGATCTAGGGATGAAGAGAAATCTGTTGAAATCATTCTAAAGATGCTAAAGATTATAATTACATGAAAGTTTTCCGGATGCCGACAAATCCAAAACATGATTCATTTCATAACCTCTAAAGTCTTCCAACTTTTTGCAGCAGAATTGTGGGTGAAACACGAAGAGAAATTAGCACAATTTATTAACTGTTACACTCACCTGTTTCTGTATTATCAGTTTTGTGGGCTTTTCCATCATCACTTTCCATTTTTCACAGAGAAAAATACACTTCTTCACAAAGAAAACAACGTCTAGCACCGCAAATGAACCAAAAAAGAACTGATTTTACCCAATGCTCATCGGCAGAGGCGCTGCGAGCGCTGGAATAATTTTTCGCCGCCGTCACAGAATGCCGTTACTTCCATTGTACTTTTTGAACCAGCACTTGTTTGGGGCGACTGAAAAATACGGAAGAAATTGTGGATTTTGCGCGAAACCAGAGTGCCTCAGAAGTAGTGAGTAATACTGAAATTGTAATAGAGAGTAGCTAAACACGATTGTGTTGGAGAATTTCGGAATAATTTTGGAGTTTCTGTGAAAATTGCGAGGTAAGCTTGGGGCAATATATGACGAATTCATCAGGCAACGCTTGAAGTTCGGCAATAAACTCCCCTTTTTAGCGTTTCAGCGATGGATGCACGCGACAAAGAGAACATTCTGGAGAATCCCACTCCCAGACGCATGACCAGACTTACCAAGTCGCTCATGAATAGAGATTTGCCGGACAATGTGACCATGAGGACGGGCAAAGCTGGTGACATAGCGAAGCCGGCAGAGACACCGCGAAAGACACCGGCAAAGACCCCGAAGAAGACTCCCAAGAAGAGTGCTGTGAAGGAAACACCTAAGAAGTCTCCGAAGAAGACACCCAAGAAGAGTGCAAAGAAAGACACACCCAAGAAAGCCCTTAAAGACGGCACTCCCAAGAAGACTCCAGAGAAATCCGGCGAAGAAGTGAAATCTATTTCCAAATCCACATCAAAGAAGACTCGATCGACGAAGAAGGATGAGATTCAGACTTCAGGTGGATCTTTGAGGATCACTCGCTCGCGCTCGATTCATGAGCAGTTGACAGAAGATGAAAATTCGTCATCTTGCAAGAATCTCTTCCCGGAAGATGCAACAAAGGCAGAGATAAATGTTCCGGAGGCCAAATTGGAAGCAGAAGATGAAGTTGCGAAGGAAATTCATCAGGAGAATGATGAGAGTGCTGCAGTTGATGTGACAGTGACTGTGTTGAAGGAGCAAGAAGAGATCAAGGCGCCGGAGAAGTTGGTTGAGCTTCCGGAAAATTGTGAGGAGCTCGAGTTGAAGTCTATTCCCTTGGAAGTTTTGGCGGAAGAGCTGGAGAATGAAGAGAAGTTGGCTGATGAGTCGTGCGTGATTATTGATGATACTTCCTCGATGGAGGGAAAGGATATCATGAAGACGATGGAGAATAAGAGTATTATTGTCATTCCTGACACTCCCATGCTGACTGAAGATAACACAGATCGCCCATTGAATGAGACATTTTCCGCTGATGAAGAGGAAGTGCCGATAAAGACGCCCCTGAAGAAGACTCCAAAGAGACTGAATATCGCGAGTACTTCTCAGAAGATGGTCAACTTTGCTCCTGCCATTGCTTCGAGTGCTCTGAAGAGTTCAATCCTGCTGGACAATAAGATTATGTCGCCACTGAAGTCAATTCGCAAGCGTTCCTTTTCCACCACCGACGTGGAGAGCAGGAAGATGAATCACGTGACTTTCCACAGTCCTGCGAACATGGAGATCACGGTGGATGAAATTGATGACGGAATGCGTCCGCACATTGAGGAGATCAGGCTGGAGAGGGAGGCGCACAAGGCGCGAGACAAGAAATTGGCCAAGAGAGTTAAGCGTTCAATGTCAAATACCGAAACGGAATCCGGCAGGAAGCGAGCTTTGCAGTTGTCCGTGCGCAAGACGCCAATGAAGGCGAGTGGGCAGTCATCGCTGATCCTGGGGAAGATGCCCAATTTCGGGGCGATTCATGCGGCATCATTCAGTAACATGGAGAACTTGGATGACTACACAAAGAGGAAGCTGGAGAGGGCGAAGAATTTGCTGGGTAGCAATGGGAAGCCACTTTACACGTCCACGGTGAAGAAGAACACCAGTGTGGAGATGCAGGAAGCTAAGAAGGAGGACAAGAAGGAAGACAATCAAAGCAAGAATGGTTAGCAATTTGTGTGGAGAAAATCTTGCAGTATTTTTCTAAATTGCATTCTATTTTTTCTTCCAGCAGAGCCGATTGCTGCTCCAGGGGCGGCGAAGAAGGTGGCGAAAATTGTGCCCTTGCAGGAGGGTGGGAGCAAAGCGGCACACGTGGGAACTTCGCGACCCCTGAAGACGGTGGAGGAGCGTCAGCAGAAATGGCGTTCAATGCACAAGTCCGGGCGCCATGACAACCAGGGTGAGAAGAAGAGCGCAATCCTGAAGGGGGTGCGCAGCAACCGACGCTTTGATCTGCTGATGAAGTTCAGGGAGTCGCAGAATTGACGCGGTCGCGGAGTCTATATATGTACAACAGAATTATGGGTATGATTTGGACTCCTCCGCTCTCTTGGATGGGTTGGATTTTTTCCCATGCATGCACACGCGCGCGCGTGTGTGTGTGTGTGATTTTTTGTTCAATGGAAAACATTTTTTTCTCCTATTCTCTCACACCTTCGCGCCCCGTATGAAGTGCAATTGTTGCATTGAGAAGTGTGAGACAAGTGGTTAATTGAATAAACAATTGATATTGATGATTAGTGATTTTTTTCTGACGCCTTTTCCCCATTTTCCCACGCCGGCCGAAAATTTCCCAAGGTTGCCTATAGGCAGGCGCAATTTTCCCACGGCGCGTCAAAATGGTGAGGATTTCGCCCCACTTCGCCGCCGCTATGACATGTAGCCATTTTAATTCTGCAATTGGAATGGGAATAATTAAGTTGAGAATGGATTAATTGGTGGCCAAGTGCGGTGCAAAAGACAAGGATTACCATCTCCAGGCGACTGTACAAGTGCTCGAGTGTCCTGGTGGCGTTGTGTGTGCGCTGGGGCGTGTGCGGATGTGGTGCAAAGAGGTGGAAACACGGGGGTTGTGTGGATGGTGTGTGGAATTTTTGTGTGATTGAAGAGGAGTCCTCGACTATGGAGAGAGCGAGATTCACATTTTGAGATTTACATTTGCCCACGGTGGCCAGCAGTCCTCCGGCACCGAATTGCGCCCAGCGACCTGGCATGGTGTGTGGTGATATTTGCTAGATGCTTGCGATACGTTCGGCCGTCAAAGTGAGGCATTTTTCGTATCACGACGCACAATGTAGAGGCAGAGAACCAGCAGGTGGACGGCTGGAAAGAAAAAGACACGGAGACAGCAAATAATTGTGGTGGAAAATACGACGATTAACATTTTGTCGGAGAACTCTCTCTGGTTGTGTCGACGTGCCCGTGAATTTCCCATTGCAGTGCGCCCCAGTGTGGCTCTGTTGGGCCCCACGTCGGTGTGGCCCCGGAAAGCGCCCCAGTGATTCCGGTGGAAAAAACTCGTATTCCCCTCTTCCTCCCCCCAGTGCTGTGCGTGTGTGTTTACACTTTCCATCGCGGAGCCTCTCCCACGAGCTCCGGGATTCGCCCCAGAGAGCCGTGACTTGTCGTGTGCGGTGTGTGTGCAGTGCAAGGGATCGCGCGCCCGCGAGAGAGAGAGAGAGAGGGAGAGAGACACTTCCGGACGGCGTGTCTCCGTGCCCAGAGGACAGACCCCAGAGTAGTCTCCCCAGCGAGCGAGCGTGCACGCTGGGAAAGTGGCGAGAAGCCGTCGAGTGTCCGTCTGGGCGACTTTCTGCAGCAGCACAGGAGGCGAAGTTCCAATTCATAAGAAAAAAGCAGCAGAAGAAGAAGTATTTTTTGTTGTTGGTGTATATTAAGTTGCGGCGCGCACAAGGAGAGAGAATGGGGCCAATGCAGCAGCAGCGGAGATGTTGAATTTCCACAATTACAACATCATCGCGTCGCGGCACAAATGTCATGAGAATTGAGATGCAATTGCGGCAAACGACAGAGAATCAAATCAAAATCAATTTCACCAATAATAAAACTACAACAAAATGTACAAAGATGACGGAGGAGAGCGATACTATAAGAAATGGCATGAGTGTAAGTGTAAATGGTGGTGGTGCCACACAGAATGGTGCTTCCGGATGCAATAGTAAAACATCATCAGGAGGGCGATTGCAATTCTTCAAGGGTGAGTTCACAAAACATCATCATCTTGTCTCCCTTTTGCACACATCATTCTTTACCTACGCGTGATCATTTACCTCCTTGGCCTGTGATTTTCGTATAAGAAAAAACACTGATTTCTCTGGATTTGGACAGTTTAACCTGAGAATTCCGCCTTTTCTCTCTCTTCAATTCGGAGTGAAGAATGAAATTATAGCGACCGCTCTTTTCCATCGTGCTTATTCTGCACATTTTCCTGGGGTTGATGGTGAATTTGTGTGTGACATTGTGTGTGGGTGACGAGAGAGAGAGAATGCTGGGCTAGCGTGAAAATTGATCTAATACAGTTTCCGACGCCCCCTCATAGAAATCAATTACAGAGCGAGTTGCTCATGGTGTTGTCGAGATTTCCTCCCGCGGAGCGACACCTCTCTAGAGATTGGGCTCTTGGAACCTGTCTCTGCGATGAGTTCTTCTTCTTCAATTCTTTCCGCGAGTCAGCGAGCGCGCGAGGAAAAGCTGGAAGAATGGTTGGTTTTCACTGAAAAAAAAGAAATATTATATTATATTATGGAGCGAGAGCCATATAGCGTAGAATGTGAGCTTTATTTGGTTGCTGGAAAGACAATTGGTCGAGTGGGAGGGTTGGCGGGTGACGAACGAGAGAGAGAGAGAAAGGGAGAGGGAGAGAGTGTGTGTGTGAGTGCGAGGGAGAGAGATGGGTGAGTTTGATTGAGAAATCTTCTGATGGTGGAGAGAAGAATGAAAAAAAGAGGCAGAAGAAAAATTATAATACAACAATTGCACAAGACAATTGAAGAGAGCACTGCACGTTAACAACACATTGTCTTGCTTCGTAGAACACACTCCATCATCGACAGGCAGCAGCAGCGGCAGCAACAGCAGCAATATTAGCTGCGGCAGCCACAGAGAAAGTCAGTTATTCCAGTTAGTCATGCTCTGAATATATGTAAAACTCTCTGATTTGGAGTTTGAGTGTGTACGATGGGGAATGACTTATAGAAGATTGTGTGTTGATGGCTCTTTTCCTCCTTCTGCCACTGCTCAAAGCACCTCTCCTTCGCGAGAGATGGATCTATCAATGAAATTCGGACCCAGAGTCAATTCCCAATTTGCGTGGTGTCAAAATTGTCCACGGATGCTGTGTGCAACTTGGGGACAAGTTGGACATGATTGATGAACATGTTGCGTGACGCGCGTCTCTTTTCTTTCTTCTCTCTTTGCAGATGGAAAATTCATATTGGAATTGGCGAGTGCACGAGAGAATGAGAATGGACGAACCGCATGGGTTGCGGTTCCGAGGAAAACTTTCTGGCCACCAACAGCACCTCCCTTCACCAATAACTACAACAGCAACAATTGCAACAAGAATGAGAGCTCCACATCGCTGAGCTGTAAGTGCCATGGCATATGTGTAATCTATTCCAGCCAAAGGGTTTGTTATTTTGCACAATTGCACTGCAATTAGCTCAGGTCGCGTGCCCCGTTCAAGACTACCTCAAGTTCAACTCTGCGCTACTTCTGATTTACCGTGTCGATGTATGAGTAATTATGATGATATCCGAGAACATACCGTATCACAATTTTCGCGTGGTTGCGCGCAGAAGATGTTTATGAAACTCTCTGCACTCGAAGGCATTGTGAGAGTTCTTCCTCAAATTTTTAGGAAATTTTTCACATATTGCTCTTGCAGAAAGATCTCTGATTTCTCCAATTGCATTCAATTCACTCCCAACAAATGATCTACTTTTATCAATTGAATTGTTATTCATCTTTTTGATTTGGATTTTTATGGAGGAAAAGCGAAGCATATTCAAACATGTTCACCATTCAATATATGTACTTTGGATATTATAATAACTTTTTGTCCACGTGAAAAGAGAAGTAAGAGAGTTTCCTTCGCCCAGTGAATGAAAAAAAAACACAAAATTCCGCAAGCAATTGTGATGGTTTTTCATGAGTTTCTATCACGCAAAATTGTATGAAAAATTGTGCACATTGTTGATTTGCTGTTCAGCTAACTTTGAGGTCTCAATAAAACAGTTTCTTGTAATTATTATAGGGAAATCTCGAAGTGTTGAATGAGTGTGTTTTCGTCTAAATTCAGCCATTCTTTCCTCTTTGCAGTTTCTGATGACAACAGCTCGATACAATCGTCGCCATGGCAGAGAGATCATTGCTGGAAACAATTGACTCCGCGTCGCAACATTTCACAGGAAATGTCGATGCTATACATCCGTCCTGTAAGTCTGCATCTGTCCAGGGAAGGCAGGCGCCTGGCGAAGGTGAAGAAGCGTCGACCATATGATGCCGCGACGGCTCTGCACAAGATAATCTTCGCCCGTTGTCACAATGGTGTTGCTTCACCAATAAAGTCTGATGAGACGACTAATGATAAAGACTGTACCGATGCTGCTGCTGCTGCCTCGTCATCTGCTGCGGCGAAGGAGGATGGCGAGTGCGAGATGGCGGAGGCGCCTGATGGTGAGGAAGTCGGCAAGAAGATGGATGATGAGGTGGTGCACACAGTGAAAACGATGAAGACTGTGAAAATACTGAAGAATAGAATTCCACTGAGCACAATAGTGCAAAAGCTGATGGACAGACTTCCAACAGGACTGATTTTGCTGACTAAAACGCCTGCCCTCGTGGCGAATCACCACTTTTCGGCGTCATCGTCGCCAAAAGTGGACAGTGGCCATCAGCACGTGTCGCCGAGGAAGAGAATACTCAGAGAGTTTGAGCGGGTGTCGCTGGATGACACATCATCGCAATCCATGAAGCGCCATCGTGCCAAGAACTCCACCAACACCGTGGTGGTGAGCTCCACGCGGAGTGTGGCAACGGCGGCGCCGGCCTTCCAGAGTGGCCCCAATGTACCAAGTGCAAGTGCCACGGTGATCAGTAAAACTGTCATGCCGAATGGAAGTGGTGGTCACGAGCCAACGCCGCCGCCGCCAGCCTCCCACGAGGCGGCGAGTGTGTCATCGAGTGGAGCGGCCGTGTCGAAGCCCATTAGCAGTTATAGTATTATATCATTACTCGGTCACAACAACAACAGCAGCAGCAGTAGCAGCAAGACAAACGATAAGGATACTTCCACTAGTCATGCCAAGGAGCACGAGTCCACAGTGTCACCAGCGAGTCCGTGCGGTGGTGACGTGCAGAATAGACTGCCGCCGAAGAAGAAACAATCACCACCGTATGGGAACAACAACTGGTCACCAAAACCCTCCGCCACGGGCGCCGCGCAGCGCCAGAACAGCAGTCCGCTGTCCAATGTGGGCTCACCGTCGTCGCACAACTACAACCTGATGCGATCGCCCGATCTGAGTCCGAGTCCAGAGCAGCAGCACTCGCTGTCACGGTACAAATCCCACTACACGGGACTCCACTACTCTGGCTCGGGTGGAACGCCGTCCGGCTCCTCGGCGGCCTATCATCCCTACTTGGCCACCCGCGGCAGTCCGTCTGGCGGCACGTCCTCGCCGTCTTCGGAGGCGTTCAACAGCCGCTACCGCTCTTCTGGCGGCTTCTTGTCGGGCTCACCGCAACACAATCGTGCCAACAACAATTCACCATCGTCATCATCCCCATATTCGCGCTACTCGCCGATCCCCAACACCACGGTTCCCGGATCGTATCACCATCCGCCCGTGTCGCCGCAGCACTATGCCGCCAAGGCGTCATCCTATTCGGCGAGCCACTACAGCGCCCCGCTGTCGTACAGCAACAATCGATTGCGCTCAACATCCCCCTGTCGATCGCCATCGATGCTGGACGCACAGCATTCATCACAGAAAAAGACTGCGCCATCCGGCAAGCAGCCGCACAGATCACCCGTGGCGTCGCCCAACACCCACGATCCTTCCAGCGGCGGCTATCCGGGCAGCACCTGTGGCAAGCGCACCACTGCGTCTCTATCGCGCGACACTAGCAGCAAGTCTGACGGGCGGAAGTGCAGTGATGAGCACGAGGAGGACATGCGGATGGCGACGAAGGAGGAGTGCCACGTGAAGCGCGAGACCACGCCGCCGGACGCAGAGCGGCCGGGCGGCGGCATGAAGCTGTCGAGTCAGGAGCTGGAGTATCTGGCGGCGTTCTCCAAGGCGAACTCCCACCATCTGCTGTCGGGAATCGATATGGCATTCGCAGCTATGATCCGTCCGTCGCCGTATCTCATGTATCCGCCCACGCACGGCGGATCGCCACTGCATCATACTCAGGCGCCGCCCTACCTGCCGACGCTTCCCTTCTACAACCCCATGTACCCGGCCGCGGCGGCTGCCGCCGTATATCGCCAGCAGTCGTGGCTCAACTATCCACCCATTCCGACAGCATCGCGCCTGCCGTCTGCTAGTCTGCTCGCCTACGAAGCAGCCGCCAGCGGCCTCGGGCCGCCGGCTCCGTCCGCCGCCTCTCCGTCGGCCGCCGCGACCACACCCTGGGGACCTGTGCCGCACAGCCATGGCATCGAGGCGACCGAGAATTCCGCAACCCTTGATAGGATCAAAGACGACCCCGGTTCAGGTGAGTTGCGCTTCTACTTTCCACTCAATCACTTCAACACTGACTAATGGCTTCTCCTCCTCCGCCTTTCAGATGTCCCGCTTAATTTATCCAAACACTGAGAGTTTTGAAAAGAGGGTCCACAAATAGAATATAGAAGTTTAAAAACAATGTCGGCAAAGGCATAAACTTTTTACATGAAAACATTAGATTTTTAGGAAGAGAGAGAGATCAAGAAAAGGTAATATTTTATTACAACTAATTATATATATATATTATATACATTTTTAAGAAAGAAAAGAAAATATATACATACATGCATAATTACAATTATTAACAATTAAAAATATAACGTAATATTTTGGAAGTAAGATTTGATAAGAACGAAGAGAGAAAAAAGAGAGTTTTTTTTTGTATAGAGATGATGCGAAGACACGGAAAAAAATGATGAAAGAGAAGAAAATATTTTTTAAAGCACACGCATTATTTGCTAGAGAGTATAAAAAAGAGATATAGAGTGGCATAGTATCGAATCTCAGCGCTAAATTATAGACTGAATTAACAAAAAAATGAAAGAAAACTAGAGGAGTGAAAAAATAGCACGACAAAGAGTTAAATGCAACAAAATACACACAATTTTTCTTTTCCAAAAGTCTTAGTGCCTTTGAAAAAGAAATTAAATACAATTTGTAATATGAAAACTTGGTCTTAAACTGCATGAATAAGAAATAAAATAGAGCAGAAGAGGAAAAAAATTACATTAAATCGCGTAACAATGAACAAAACTATTTAAGAAAAAGAAAAATTATGATGAAGTTTAAATATGTTTCATGAAAAGTGAGATGAGAAATCATGAACCAACATTTTAGAAATACAAATAAAAAAATATTAACAAAGTGTAGCGAGAGAGAGACAAATATTTTAGTAATCAATATTATTCTATTTGAAGAAGTAAATTTTGCGAAAAAATAGGGCCTTAAGAATAAAATGAAAAGAGATAAAATGCAAAGAAGGAGAGAAATATGAAATGGAAGAGATAAAATGAAGAGAAAAAAAATGAAATGAGAGAAATATTTTTAATATTTACTTATTGATCAAAGTTGAATTTTAGCATAAAATTCAAACAAAAAAAAAACTTGAGGAAAAGATTAAACATGACGAAGTAATGTGATTAAATTTTGTACATAGAAGATATAAATGAGAAAATATTTATACATTTATATACATACAAAAAAAAAGAAAGAAAAAATCATTGAAATGTGCAATTAATATCGTGTATTTTTAGAAGGAAAATGAAAGATCTTAAATATCAAAATTTTTTCTAATCCACTCCCAAAACAGGACGGAAAGCTTGTAATATCAAAAGAAAGAAAGGAAAGAAATGAGAAGAGACGACAAACCGCGCTCGTCATTGCGAAATGCCGATGCGGTGTATATTTTAAAAAATACACAGAAAGTAACAAAAATTATGTATTTCATGAGACATATTTAATAAGTATTGTGCTTGACAGTGTTTTTTGTGTGTAATTGAGATCTTTTATATTTTTCTTTCACACTATAAAGAATATAAGAAAAGCGTCCACTGCGCATGAACTGCTAAGTATACAAATGATAATAGAGCGCATGAAAAGCATCATTCGACCAATAATTTAAAAGAAAAACTTGCAGAATGTCTTGAAATTCTGCCCACAAATCGGCATTGTACATTTTGGTTACGCTGTCCGCGCGGAGGAAATATCTATGAATGCGAATGGACAGAAGAAGTGAAGAAGAAGACCATGATGTTATTAGGAATCATCTAAGCTACAATTTAATTAGATTTTAACGAGCATATAGGCTTCAAATCCAGAAAGAAATCCATTGACTTTCTACATTTTCTTTTAATTCTTTTTAATTAAATAGTGCCAAAAGCCAAGTCTCAATTGTTCATTTTGCACGGGAAATAAGACTGCACAAGGATTGTGTTGATTGATCGGCAAATGCTAGAGTCTTGCTATTCCTTCCCCACCTCATGAATGAATTGAGCAGAGAAAAAATAGTTTTTAGAGGAAATAGAAAGGAAAAAAGCGATGAGAAAAAAAGGAAACACATTTCATTAAATAGGAAAGGAATAAATAACTTCTTAATTGCAAAACAAACAGACGAGAGAGAAAACTTTGAGAAATTTTCCCCTCTTAACGTGTAAATATTATTATTTTATGATTAATTTTTGGATCGTCTCTAATTTATATGAAGAAGAAGAAAAAAAGTGAAGCATATAATAATGAAAGGATAACGAAACAAAAATCAATAATATTCGTAGTGTATTATTTTATATAATTTTTTCTTGAATCGCACCGTAAAAATATTTATTTAGTGTTTATTTAAATCTATTTGATAAATATTTTCTTTCCATTTTTTTATAAGACAACATTGATGACTAAACACTGACAGGATATCGCAGAATGTTGTAATGATTTTCTGGACCAAGATATAATGAAATCCACTATAAGGAGTAGAAAGGATCAATAAATTGTGAGCTTAGCTGGACTAGTAGCCAAAATTCCTATTTAAACGAAGAAGAAGAAAGAAAAACAAAAAACAAGAGGGAAAATATGAAAAAAGACATTACTAACTTACATGATAGGGTAATATTAAAAGAAAGAGAGAGAAAAAAAATATTACACTTTTTTTTAAAAAAGAAAATAATTTATAGTGTGTAGAAATCGAGTATTTAATGGAGAGAAAACAGAACAATGAGAATTTGTAGAGTATGAATTAGAAACTGTTATGTTCGCGCACAACATAAAGGTATTTCCACTTTATACATAAAAAAAAGAAAAGAAAATGATGACCGAATAATAAGGAGAGAAAGAACACAAACATTTTTAAGCTACTTTATTATATTGTCGTCTAAGAAAGGAAAAAAAAACATTAGTGTAACATATTTATACAATTTCTGTATTTTTAAATAAAACTGGAAAAAAGTAATGCGAAAAATACTTTGGCGTCTCTTCTTTTCCACTCTAAATTGATGAAATCCGCCATTTTCAGCTCAATCTCCGCCCCTTTTCATACTCCTCCTGGCAAATTCTCACAAAATAGGTAAGAAAGCTCCTCTACACAGTATTAGCACCGCATTCGGGTTGTTGCTATTTGTCCTTTAAGAAGATTGTAATTATTGATCATAATATATTTAGCAAAAGATTCCGAGGAAGAAAGCTCAGTGTGTCCGTTTGAGTTCGAAACGGAGCTTCCATTCGCCGCGCGGAAGCTCGTGCTTCGCCGCCTGCAGAGAATGCCTGTAGAAGTGTGGCGTGGGGTAACACTGTTGTGTGTCAAATATAGAAAAAGAAAATGGCTCCCGTGCTTGTGTGCGAATAAAAACAATTATTAACGCGGTTCTTGTGATTTAACATAATAAATTGTGTGTTAAATGTGTAGCAAGTACCGTGGGTTAGCTGGTGATCAAGTGTTTTGAGTGATTTCAACCCAAATATGACCGCAAACATGTATCGGGTCGGAGGTGAGAGACACTGCTTTTCTTTTTTTGACAAATGGAGTTAATTTTGATGCCGTTACTGTTGGGCCCTAAAGCAGCGTGAAGAGAGGCCTCGAAAATGGCAAGGGGGCCAAGTGCGATGGCGACTGGTGTGACGTGGGGCGTTTGGGGTGAATGTGCCCGGGGTGAGCGGGGCTGACCGGGTGTGCTCCAGAGCCTCCGCCGCCGTCGCCGTGTGTTTTTTCCCGACCCACTCCATCGCGTCATCATTAGCCTCTTTCTCCACTCTTCATGCGTACTCCGTGAGAAGGCCGAAAATCACTCGGTATCTCCGCCACCTTTTGTCTTCCGCTCCTCGCATCGCGCGCGCCCCCGTGCGGCGGTCGCCGGGCCCCGCGTCCGGACGATACTGTGTGTCTCACCCCGCGCGCGATTGTGTCTACCTGTTCGCGCGCCCTCCAGGGGCGCACATTTTCCCATGCTCCCTCCCGAGGCCCACAAGCAGCACACAAAATGGATTTAATGGTTGAGCGATGGCTAGAAGCTTCCACGCATAGCCACTTTTGTTTCTCTTCTTCTCTTCGTCTCTTTTCGCATCGCCATCCGTCTCGGCGGGGCCAAAATACTCTCCACCGAAAAAGAGTCGCAACTTCAGCCGCAGATGCGATGTGAGGCTGATTGAGAAACTAAACTGCAGAGTTGTTGTTCGCACTAGCGAGAAATTTCCATAGACATAGAAGACAGAGAGAGAGAAATACACCGCGCGAATTGGGCAATTACACATCTTTTCTGCTGACCTCTCGCTCAAAGCATGACCTCTTTCCTCCCCACCTCACCGCGATCTCCTGGGAGGTGAAATGAGCATTGTCCTGCTCATCGGCGCTCCTTTTAGTCCACTCGATCGGACTCCCTTCAAATGCTTCCGTTGAGCGACAAGAGGAGAAGATTAGGTGGTCAGTTTGCAAGTGAAAGTGATTATATTTCAACATATCACTAGTTGCATAAGACAACACCTTATCTTACATTTTCCACAATGCATTTTCTTTCCTACACCGACGAGCGCTCGAGTGTGCGTGGCTGTGCCGTGGAAGAGTGTAATGTTACATTACTGTACACATAGTTGGGTGTAGGGTGACTACTTCGGGTCTCTGGCCACAAACACCGCGCGAGATCACGTTCGCCGAGCGCCAGCAACATCACAGCTGATTCTCATATTATTGATCTTAGCGCCGTTCTAGCATTTCATTAGGGACTTATTCCACATGATTGATGAGATGAAACTGCGTTGATTTGCTCACTTTGCCACATTTGCGTCAAGTGAGAAAGAAGAGATCCTTCCGCTGTAGATTGTGGACAGAAGTAGCAGGAGGAGGAAAAAGAAAAGGCAACAACACTGATCTGATAGTTAGAGCAGAAAAACTGAGCTCTTTTGCGCAAATTACAGGATAAATATTCAAAATAAAGATTAGTATAAAGATTTTCTATACAACCAATGCATAGAAAATATGATAGATGTTCACATGAATTGTTGTTGTCAGTGGAATAATGTTTGTATTGTTACATACACGATTCAGGAAGTTCTTCTCAAACTTCAGAGAATATCGATCATTCTAGTGACTCAGAAAGAAGGATATCAATTCAAAATTCGGATGAAAACAGTAAAAATCGAAAGGCTATGACTTAATTAGTAACGACAAGCACAAATTGGCGTACTAGCATGGACTTTAATACCTGGAAAGAGCATAAAAAGTTCCCTTATTTTCTCAGAAATTGACAGCTTTGATCTGCTGCGAAAGAACAATTTTTCACCCCAGGTTTTAGCTTAACTTTCATCCATGTCTCATCAATTTCATGTTTTCCTATTGAGTGATATAACTTGGGGATGTCCTTAATCAACCCCGTGGAAGGAGAGAATGCTTTGAGTTCAGTCTCAAACTAACTGTATTAGCACACATTATGGCAACAACATAATAAATATGTATTTCTTTACCCCTAATAGTATATATAAGAGTGTAATAAATATTCAATTAGGTAACCATATATATATAATGATTTGGAATAATGTGCAACTTACTTTCTTGCAGATTATGTCTATTTTGAGACATCGTCTTCAGCTCCGTATCAAATTCGTCGAATTGAGGAGCTAAATAAAACACCCTCCGGCAATGTTGAGGCGAAAGTAATGTGCTTCTATCGACGAAGAGACTTACCAACCCCATTAGTTCAACTTGCTGACAAACACCAGAGTGAGTCTTACCTATGACACGCCTTATATATTCCCCTGTTCAATTGATATGTGTACAGTTATTTTGGGTGAATAAGATACATGTATGCATTGTGACATGACATACAAATAAGGCAGATCATTATGCTATTTAGATACATGATGTTATCGAGTGGTAACATGAAACATAGATAGCATTTTTTCGTCAATGGGCGAATTCGTCTAATTTCCTCAGACTACTATTTTTGGCTATTCGTGAAGGAGAGAGAGAGAATTGTTGGGGATATTCATTGAAGGAAAGTGCATGTGAGATACATAAACTGATTGGGAGGGAGGAAGAGCTTTTTAATAGATAATATTGAGAATGGGTTGGAATTGAGGCACGGAAATCGATTTTGGTGCCTTTTTTGGATTGTACTTTTTGCCTCTCTTGTTTCATAGAATGCACGCTTCTGTGTTAGAACTGTGTGAATGATGTGTGTATGCTTGGGCTAGAGTGTTCGCTAGAATTTCGTGCGAAAATGCAAACTGAACTAGAAGGAGGAGAATTTCATCAAAATTTCATGTACATGGAGTCTCTTTTGTACATTATATTGCACCATCGAAATGTGAATTAAATAAAGAGAGAGAGAGAATCCGTCAGATCCATATGCATATTATGTACACAGTACAGCTTATGTATGTTGTTACATATATACTTGTGTATCGAAATAAGACTAAAATTTTATGTTTTTCCCTCTATTTGAGAAATTGTTTGAAAGCCTTTTGTCTGGTTAGTCTAATTGTAGTGATTGTGATATAATTCAGTGAGTGATTAGTTTGTTGCTTTGGTGTGTAGGCTTTTGCTCTCTCTCTCTCTCTCTCTCTCTCTCTGACTCTGTCAAGAGGTAGAAAGATTAGGAAAGTGAAGCATTAGAATATTAGTGTTATTAGATTGACTTCTTCTCTTTCTGATCACTTTCAATTCCGTGCTCAATGGGAGAAAAGAAGAGGGGAAAAACAGGCAAAGAAGCGTTTTTGTGTATGTAGTTTTTGGTTGAGAGGCGTTTAAAAGTACGGGCAACATTCAAAAAGAGAATGATATCGATTTGTTAAGATGGACCCCACCTCAACCCACCCTTCGAGCATGCCATCGTGCTTATGTATAGATAATATAGAGCTGTGAGATGTATGTATGTACAGAATGGTAATGTATAAACACAGCTCAGCCACCCTCAAAAAGAGAGTGGGAGAGAGAAAGCCACCCCAAAAGAGCGAAGCACCAGCCAGTCAACCCGGCCACCCTCATGTCCTCACACCGCGCCACACATTGGCATCACACTCCCCGCAATGCTATTCTGTATGGAGAGCGCCTCCTGTGTGCCACCCACTTTCGTTCCAACCCCATCCTCATCCTTATCTTGTGAGTGCCAGTATTTTATACAGGACTATAGCCGACTGTGTGTGCACGCTCTATATCTATCTGTGCGGCGGCTATGGCTAGATATTATTATGCGCTGCCGAGAGATGCGAGCGGGGAGTTGGGCGGCGGCGCTGTGTGGGTGGGCGGGTGAGATGGGGTGGTGTGCTTTGTATCGTGAGGTGTGGGTGTTTGTTTGTGTGAACATTCTGCGTCTGTGGGAGTGCGTCTGAGTGCAGATGTGTGAGTGAGTTCGATGCTACTCCACCCCAAAAATGGCCCACACCCCGCGCCATATTTGCCACCCACTCAAACTCTGCAGGATTCCTCCAACCGCTGCCACCCACAGCCATGTACTCAGGCTCATGCCTTTCTCCTGCCCACATGTGTGCGTATCAGAGACGTGTAGTCATTTTTTGGAATCTCTTTAGTTTTTATTCTTTCTCAAGTGTGGGTCGGTAGGTGGCCGTGGGGGGTGGAAAAGATGCCTCATATTGGTGTTGGTAAAATCACAAAAATATCTGTATTTGCAGCATAAGTTAGATTCGTGTTTTGACCAATGTTTTCCACCCTCTCTTGAAATTAATCCTGTGGACATTTGATCTTATCCGTTAAACTCTGTTCTATGATTATGTTGAAGCTGAGGTGTGGTCGAATGGTATGCTTCTCATGATGCTTCCCAAAATGGTGTACAAAATGTAGAGACATTGAATGTTGCTAAATCTCGAATGGACAAAGTAATTCGTAAAATCTCATTAAATGCAAGTGAAGAACATCTTGAATATTTGATGTACAAGTATGTAAAAGCATACGAAATATGCACACGACGATATGATGGTGTGTCTTTGGGCAGCGGCGAATGAAGGGAATAGAGAAAAAAAAAATAAAAGGGGTGGTTTGCCCTTGGAATTACATGAATTGACTATATAAACCACTTTGGAGATTCCCTTTCACATATAACAAATTTTCGCTTGCGTGCTATTTATGTATATATATGAGTGAAAAACATGGAATTTGTACATAAGCACACATGCAAGAGTGTGTTTGGAATATGTGTCGTATGAACCATGGATGTGACTATGAAATGAACTGTATACATTTCATTGCATTATGAATAAAGTCCTGTACATATTATGATTGAATCCTTATGCAAGGTGCATCACTATTGTGTCTCCCCATTGATAGAAGAGAGTATTGAATTGAGCTATGGAGAGCATTTGAGTCTCTTTGGCTAGTTTTGTTTGAGTTTTGCTGGAGTATTTTTGGTTGAAGAAGAAGAAATACTGCTGACTACAAAAAGTTAGGGAACTTTAGTATATAGTAAGACTATGCCAACAAGTTGTTGAGACAAGAAATAAGGTGGTCTCTGTATGATACAATGGATTTCAAATAGGTTAGAAAGATTCCTTTAACTACAATATATTCGTTTAATAGAGAATTATCAATGATTTTTCAACATTTACACTTTATTTTGGGAGGTTTATTGTTACAATTTTGTCCATAAAATACATGATTAAGTTATTGGAACATATTAATGAGATATATATATTAGATTACATTTAATATTGGCATTAGTAGAAATATAGTGGACAAACTTGACTACATTCAACTCATGTAAGCATATAATGTACTAACGTTTGAACATTCTGTCATTTGAAGAAGCAATTACGTAGAGTGCACTGATACTGTTGTGTGAGGCATTTCCTAGAATTACAGGGACTTCTGTATTTATGCGATCGTATTTATGTAATACAGTATATTTATGTAATCGAAGCACAGATAGGGAGAAATGCAACATTGGCTTTTGTGACGACATGAGTGTGTATTTTCAGAATCAAAAATTCTCCAAATTTTTCACTTTTGCTTATTTGTGAAAAACTGAATTCAAATAATTGGGCAACTTTTCGCGAGAGGGAATAATAAAAAAGATGGGAACTATATCAATCAGTCGCTGATGGATAGCGACACTCTTTCCCTTTTGCTCTCTTTTTTACTCTCATCTCAGTGAATGCCAGTGTCGCTGGTTTCCATGGGAACTGAAGGAGATAAAAGGAATTTTGTGTGTGCACTTTTGTTTGTGCCACACAATTTTCTATACCTGCAAAAGGGGTGGGGTGTGAGAGGGCTGTACGTGTGTACACTGTGCAGCGCCACAGTGAAATGATGATACGCGGGGTGGCTTTTTTGGGTGAAAGGAGGGTGTGTGTGTGTGGTGGAAAGAGTGCGGAAATGGTAAAATTTTCCTGTCTAGTTGGGAAATCTTGCCTGACAAACTGAGATGTGATATTAATTAATTTGCACAGAGTAGTTTTTTTGTGTGCATAAAACATGTTTGAATGATAAAATTTGTGGCATTTTCTCTATGTTCTTGTTCTTTTGATAATTTCAGTGGCTACTGCTGATGATTCGCCTGTGGCAATGAAGTTGAAAAAGATGTGGCTTAAGACACCAGTTGGTGAGGAGCAAGCAGCGCAAGCAGTCTTGGATCCTGCATTAGGTAATGTTGGTTTGTCCATCAAGCAAATTGAATTGGATTGAATGGAATGTCTCATGTTGTGTTGTGTGTGTGTCATTTTAGCTGCTCTGGAGGAGGACAGGAGCACAGGTGGAAATAGCCTAGGTGGTGAGAAAGGTGAAAATTTCACACAAAAGCAACGGCACCAAATGAAGCATCGAGAATTATTTTTATCGCGACAAGTTGAAACTCTTCCTGCCACACATATTAGAGGAAAATGTTCGGTTACACTCCTGAATGAGACCGAATCACTGCTAAGTTATCTAAACAAAGACGTGAGTTAAATGTGTAGTAAAGTCGAATTCCAAAGACATTTACTTGAAATGTGAATAAGGCGAGAAATTTTGTGCAATAACTCCTCTCTTCGTCCATTGTCTTTTGTGGGGAGAGAGAGAAACACAGAGAGAGAGAGAGATTGTTGTACAATTTTCTCCCCTGATGGAATGTGAATTAACACTGTGGATTTGCCTGGATTCTCCTTCTCTTAGGACACCTTCTTCTATTGTCTGGTATTCGATCCAACGCAGAAGACACTGCTGGCGGACAAGGGTGAGATACGCGTGGGTAGTCGATATCAAACGGAAGTGACGGCTTTGCTGAAGGAGGGTGAGCCCGACACGAGGATCCTTGAGGAGCTGGAGACTCTCACGTGGACGCCGAATCATGCGCTGACTGACAGGAAGATAGATCAATTCCTCGTCGTTTCCAGATCTGTTGGCACTTTTGCTCGTGCCCTTGATTGCAGCAGCTCCGTGAAGCAACCGTCCCTCCACATGTCAGCAGCGGCGGCTAGTCGTGATGTTACACTGGTGAGTGAGATAAATCTTGAGATGCATTTTCCTTCTTGATCCACAATTTAATGTGTTTCTTGCAGTTTCATGCCATGGACACACTGCACAAACACAATTACTCAATTGAATCGGCCATGTGTTCGCTGGTGCCGTCCAGTGGACCAGTGCTGTGTCGCGATGAGATGGAAGAGTGGAGTGCATCCGAAGCGAATTTATTTGAAGAGGCCCTGGACAAGTATGGGAAGGACTTCAATGATATTCGACAAGATTTTGTGAGTACCTATCGGAGTCATTTGTCAATAAGTTGGGTGGCTGGAGGGTTTCTAAGGATGGTGAGAGACTAACGTGCGTGCGTGTGTGTGTGTTTAATTTGTGCAATTGCAGCTGCCGTGGAAGACACTGAAGAACATTGTGGAGTATTACTACATGTGGAAGACGACAGATCGTTACGTGCAGCAGAAGCGTGTGAAGGCGGTGGAGGCTGAGTCGAAGCTGAAGCAAGTGTACATTCCCAACTACACAAAACCCAATCCAGCGGTGATTAATAATACGAAGGGTGTTCTGAACGGAAGCTCCAACGGAAGCAGTGGCAACGATGTACTAGCCTTGACCAGTGGTGCTACGAATAATGCCAGTATTGGAGGTGGCAAAGCGTGTGAGTCCTGCCAGTGCATATCATCGTCGCAATGGTTCTCATGGGGTCCGGCGCACCTGAATTGTCGCCTGTGCTTCAATTGCTGGACGTACTGGAAGAAATATGGCGGCCTTAAAGTTGCGTCTCGCATAGCTGATAGTGATATTGATGCGCTGAAGAAGCGCTCAAGTAATGATGTGGAAGATGAGAGGTTGAATGATTTGACCAACAGACCACCCCACCGGTGCTCCATTGTCAATTGTGGGAAGGAGTTCAAATTGAAAGCCCATCTTGCCAGACACTATGCCCAGGCGCATGGCATTGCCATACGCTCTGGCTCACCACGTCCCATCATGAAGACACGAACGGCGTTCTTCTTGTATACAACGGCCGCCACGCGCTTGTCGCGCAAGATATGCAGAAATCTCATACGACCACGAAGGGCGGCCAGGCAGCCGTCGTTTGCCATCAACTTCCAAGCAGTGAAGCAAGAATGTAATTGCAGAATGCTCTTTTATTTGACTCAGAATCTCTTCACTTATCATGTTGCTTTTCTCTTTGCAGTCTCATTGGCGATTGCCGGAAAGACGTTGCCGGAGATTAAGGCGATGCTGGTGTACAGGAAGAAGGATCGAGGAAGTGTGACACACATTGCAAATCGTCTGGGCAATCCGGGAACAACGGTGGGTGAGTGGTTGATCTTGACACCGAAGGAGAATATGCCAAAACCCGAAGTGGTGGCATTCCCGAAGCCACCGAAAGCGCCGGATGGTAGTTTGCTGTATGAGCGAATACCCAACAAACCTGAGGCTGAGAAGATACCATTGAACACAGCATCACCGTCACTCAAGAGACGTGCGTACGACGAAGTGAATGGAATTGATGGAAGTGAGTGTTTTGAATGTCAACTTAACAGCAAATATATTTTCACGTGATGGATTTTTGCAGCTCCTCCTGTGGTCGGACCCCCTGCCAAGAGGCCTAACAAGGATCCGGCACCATCCCATCGACCGACACAAGAGCAGTATGCCGCAATGATGGCAGCAGCGGCGGCTGCTGGTCAACCACTTCCTCGTCACCACGTAAGAAAGAGTCTCTTAATCTCTGTTAATTGCTCTATTTGATCGATGATTTGTTTTCCTTTGTTGCTGTTGCTGCAGTTGAATGGGAAGCCGAAGATTGCTCAAATGACGCGCACGGGTTCGGGACGAAAGCAGGTGATCAGTTGGATGGATGCGCCCGATGATGTGTACTTTCGCGCCACGGATGCGAGCAAGTGAGTGTCTATTATGAGTTTGTCGATCAGCGGATTTCGTGTGTGTACAATGATGATCACAATTTGTGTTTGACAACTATTGGTGGACTCCAGACGAGCGAGGCGAGGATTGACCCTGGCTGAGTTGAGGCGAGCCGCGAGGAAGCCATGGAGGAGTCTCCAGCTTAAGACAACGATCAATATGAATCCGACAATTCCACCAATTGCCACACCACAACCAGGCAGTGATCTTCAGGTTGTGATACTTGACTGACCAGAACCCCAGCCGCATCCGTACACGATGGAAGCTCTGCTCAATTAAAATGCGTAACACGGTAAGTTTGCGATGAGAGAGAGAGAGAGAAGAAGGTGAGAGAGAGGAGAGAGAGAAGGGGAATTACTACTAATTGCTAAGAGAACACTTAGATAAGTCATTCGTTTTATCACAATTTACAAATAATAAAAGAAAAAAACAAGAAATAAGCAGTTGAGATACTTTTGAGTGATTGAGAGATGGATGAACAACTCACTGGGCATTTAGGATGAATGTACATTCGTCTGCAGAGTGAGTTTATTGTACCCACAAATGTCAGTTTAAATAGAGAGAGAGAGAGAAATGTCACATAAAATGATAAATGATTGAGTTTTCTGAGCTCATACAAATCCTCTTGTACTGTTTTGAGAAAATATCTATAATTTTAATAATTTTAATTGAGGGAAAGCGAGAGACACTCAACGGTATGATAAAGAGTCATTGATTTTTTCTAACATTATGAATGTTGACTTAAACGAGAGAAGAAACTATATAGAAATATGATTGTGTTTTTTCAAGGCAGAAAAAGGAGAGAAAAAAGAAATATAAAGAGAAAAAGCAAGAAAAAATTAACCACCAAGAGGAACTTAAGTAAATATTAATGATAGTAAAAAGAAAACCAATTAATATTTCGATAGGGATAAATATTAAAAAGGAAGAAGATGAAGATAAAACTATATTAAATTTAATAATGAATGAATGGATGAGAAAGAGAAAGAATTCCTAATCTAAATAATAAAAAGAGAGAAAAAAATTGTACACTTACACGTAATAATTGATAACTGAACCAAACTATTGGGATAAAAATTTTACTACACTAAAAGAAGATGAAAAAAAATTATTAACAGGACTTTAAAAAAATGCAAATGAAGGTATAATTATATAAGGCAATTGAAATGAGAAAAAGAAAAATACATTATTAATGACATAATAATGTAATGTGAAAAAAGGAAAAAGAATCACATCAAGAGAAACACTTGAGATCACGCAGAATTATTACAGAATTGATTTTAAAAATAATACAACGCATAAGAAATGAGAGGAAATCCACTTTTAATTTTTTGGCAATTGAAATATTTGCATGTCTGTCTGCCAATGAGAGAAATACAATAATTTCTTCAATAATGTCACTGTCCATGCCACGAGGCAGAGTTGTATGACCCTTTTTTGCACTGATTGAAGACATTTAAGTGTTTAATTTGCGATATTAGGTCCTTTTTTAGTTTCCGTGCAAAGCAGTTGAATTGAATTATTTTACAAGCTTTTCTTTTACTTCATAACTAAAAGTGTTTATTTTTGAGGAAATTTAGAGAAAAATTCATGTGAAAAATGTCATTTTGATCAGTGCAATTGAGCTCAATTCACACACAAACACACAGGAAAGATAAAAATCACCAATACAGATGGTAATGGTAGAGAATAGGAGTAAATATAAAGAAATATTAGTGTTAGTGATGTGTAAAAAGAAGCGTAAGATTATTAAACTTGTTTTTTTTTTCTTTTTTACGTTAGATAAAAAGGAAAAATAATTGTATGAGAAGAATAAATCCTAAATATATATAAAATGCTAGGCGTAAATGCAAGTAAATAATATATTTAAAAAAAAATGTGGAAGAAAGGATGAAAATAAATTGAATTTCACTACATTCTTCTGTTATCATATAGCATATAAAGAATACGTATAGACTCTGCCTTTCTTTAAAAAAAATTATCCTTTTCAATGGATGAATCTTGGGAGATTAGAGAAAAGCGTCGTGGTTGAAAGGATTTTGCGGCAAAATTCAAAATTGTACCAAGAAAAAAAATGCGGGTGAGAAATAATGCATTAATTGCCAGATTTGCGCGCGCGTCGGAGTTTATTTACAAAAAGAAAAATACAAGATCTTTTCATTAGTATTTATTTGATACTATTTTTGTTGTTTATGTTTAACTTATTGCACTACTGATTAGTACGAATGGATAAGTTTTATGGTCCCATTTTTAAGGATGGAAATACACAACATTATATATTATTTTGTAGGATATTTTCTATTAATTAAACAGAAAAGGAAGGAAAATAGCTAAAAGATGGATTTCAAAATGGATTAAAGATGAGAAACTGTAATCACTGCTCAAGGAACTGATAAAAAATATTTATTCTTATAATATCTCGATTTAAAGGAAGAAAAAACAACAATGAGAGATTGAAAGGGAGTTTCTGAAAGTGAGATGTGAGTTATAATTTCTGTGCGCATCATGATTATTAAAATTTAATTATATTTATATATTTTGATGAGAAACTTTTAGTTGTATGGCGAGAGAAATTTGGTTAGGTGAATTATATTATTTTCATTTGTCATCAAAATGCACACGAAGAATCGGAAGGAAGGAAGTGTATAAAAGTGGAGGAATAGTATAATATTTTTATGATTACTTATGTAAGGCAATAACATTTTAAACTAAAGTGTAATCCAATGAAATTATAGAATTCAAGGGATAGAAATCGAAGCAGAAGAAGAAGAATTGGAAAGATTGATATCAAAATTATCTCAACACACATTTTAATTTCACTTTTCTTCTTCATCATTTACTTCTGTTTAGAGGGTGAAAGACAGCAACATTTGAGTGCACTGATAAAGAGAGAAAGAGATAAAAAGTTTCTTTTCAAAAATGAATAAAAAAGGATTTTCTGCTCTTGCAATTGCTGAAGATGTTTAAAATTGGTGTTGGCAAGAAGATTGCCAAGAAAAGTAATGGCAAGAAAGAGGAAAAAAACAGACTTCAAAGACAACCTTTTTGGCCGAGTAAATTTTGAGCAGCAGAAGTAATTGTTGAAATATGTAGATATACATTTAGTTTGCAGAAAATTGTACGGAAGATTAAGGGGAAATTTTGAAGAGGAAAACCTTTTCTTTCTTATTTTAGTTCAGTGAGCTCTTTGTAGAATAATTTTCGATTTTTTATGAATAAAATCCTAAAAAATAACATTTCTTTTACTACTTTTCCCTAATATTTCCACCGTCAGAAGAGTGACTTGATTTTGGTTCTCAAGGAAACTCTCTGAAAACTGCATAAGTTTGGTTTGTGTCTGGATTAGAAATATTTTTCGTTAGGAAATTTAGTCAAGACACGGCGAAATATGATTTTTTCTTGTATTTCATGCTTCAAGAGGTTCGTTTCCCGACTAATGCAATTTTTGCTCAAGCGAAACCTTCCAGAATTTTGATCTTGTCGAGATTCAGTGGCGACAAAACAACACAATCTCAAGAGGAGCACATCGCCAGTAAAACAGCTGTTGTGATTTTGTCCATTTAAAAAAGCTTCAAGTACAGGGGGAGAAGATTAACTCTAGAGGCGCACAGGCAAGGAGAGTTGCCCAGGGATGAGGAGGAGGATGTGAGAATCACTTGAACACGACTGTGTCCAGCATCGCGCCCAGACACTGGACAATGTTGTTCTGCATGAGCGTCTCCACTTTCTCCTCCAGATGCCGTTTGGGGTCCTGCTTGCCCACATTCTTGATCGCCAGCTGCTCGGGCGTCATCTTCTCCTCGTCCTCCAGAGCCTGCAAGCGAGCGCGAAAATAAAGGCATGAGAGAAATTGCGACAATTTCCGGGGATTTTCACTCACCTTGTTGTAGTTCTTGGCCAGCTCCAGCATCTCCGACACCGTGGTCTCGTTGATGGTGCAGTGCTCGTGGTAGTTGGCCAGCGTGAGGCCGTCCATCCAGGACTTCTTGTGCAGATTCAGCAGCATCTTCTGCTCCAGCTCGTTCTTGCGGTAGTTTATGCTGATGGAGTAGTAGTGGCGATTGAGACCGTGGATGAGCGCCTGCACGGAGGGCTTCTGCAGGTGGCCCAGATTGCTGGTGGTCTGGCGCGGCTCCTGGCCCAGCACCAGCATGTTGGGATTGATGAGCCGGAAGGCGTCGATCACCACTTTGCCCTTCACCGACTGAATGGGATCCACCACGACTGCCACGGCGCGCTCGCTCAGCGCCTCGAATGACTGCTGCGTGTTGATGTCCACGCCGGACAGCCAGCAGCCGAAGCCCGGGTGGGAGTGGTACCAGCCGACGACCATCTCCGGACGCCCGGTCTGCTTCAGCATGTCCAACATCTTGGCCTGGAAGACAGGGTCCACGGCCTCCACGGACACCCCAGTGCCCGTCTGCGGCATGGCGAACACGTCGATCACCTGGACGGTGTAATCATCCACGAACTCCCCTGCGACCGGAAGAGCACACAAAGCCTCCTTAGTTAGAACGGCGAAAGGGACAAAGGCGCCTTTCTTCACTCACCCAACATCAGGCCCATGACCTCCATCGGCACGCCCGCCCGGCCGTGCTTGAGCATCTTGAGGAGCGCCAGGGAGGAGATGTACACCTGCTCGGCCGTGTCCACCACGGGGGCGTCCGTTGGCGGAGCCGCCTGCGTCAGTCCCGGCATTGCGCCGCCCAAGCGAAGCAAGCGATCCATAGTCAGTCGTCCGGAGCAGTCTTCTGTAGCGCGCACTGAACTTCTGGGGGTGTTTTTCCTCGGAAAATCACAGAAAAGCGGATAAAGATGCAAGCTAAGACTTTCTTAACCTCAAAACACTGAGAGTTTGTCAAGTCATGTGTGGAACGTGGCAATTCCACATCAACCCGGCGGATGTTTCGCATGTGGAAAAGTGTTTTCGCGCGTACCACAAAAGATAGCGAAACAAACACTGAGAAATTCTTTTCTTCTTTTCTGTGTTTCAATCTTTTCCTTCAGTTCCTTCTGCGTAATTTATCTAGGTGTTTATAGTGTATATCCTGTGTATCAAATGTTTGTTGAGTTATTGTAGAATTTGTGCAAAATACATAATTTTTGTATTATTCTTCTGAATGTTCTTCAATGCTTATTTTGCAAATTACTCATGAGTCAATAAAGCCAATCTAGCCAATCATTCATATAGTGAAAGCCTCGCTGTGTCACCTCTTATTGCTCATATGAAATTTGCATATAGAAGCGCGATTATGCAAAGCAAATGTGTGAATTTTCAGGGTTGTTCATTTTCAGAGGAACAAATTTTTTAGAAACTCTAATTTGCTTAGAAATTTTGCAGAATATTTTAGCAAAACTTTTTGTTTCTGCATAAAGACGACGAAGAGATTAAAATAAAGATTTCCGTCCGCAGAATTGTGTTTGATTTTAACGGATTTGCTAGTGAGTATTGTAAGTGGTACGAATATTGAGTACTCAGTCGACCCGTTAGGATAACAATTACAGCGCCGTCATCCGGGTTGCAGAGCAGAAAGAATCCTTCTTGTGTGATTCGCTGTGTGTATTTTATCAAAATATCCTGCGTAAAAGCGATTTTATCAGTGACAAGCGCTTCTGATACGCACTGCCGGCGTGTCCTCAGTGTGCACGGGAAAGAGGTCAGCGATTGTGTCTTCTGTGTCACCCTACGTGGCCCCAAAGCACTGCACTCAGTTGAGAAATCCCCCGATAAATATTCAATTATGCCTCCAATTGCCATCCGCTTTAAAGTGTGATGCTTGTCGATAGGACGAGCAGTCGCCAGCGATCTGTGGTGTGATTTGTGCGTGTCTCCGCCGAGATTATCGGCAGTTTTCCCCTGTCCACTGACCTTAACCTCAATTTCCTTGTTTTGCAGATTCTCGAGGACAAACAAAATCGCGTGATATTTTCGGGAGTGCGCAATGACTGAGTCCGGGAGTTACATTGGTCAGCTGGCGGGTGCTGTGGGGGCCACGGAACCCGCCCTGAGACTGCTGCTGTCCAGTGTGTTTGGTAGGAAGAGAGCTAATCCCTGTCACGAGACTGTTATGTGATGCAATTGTGGCTATTTCAGGGTATCCGCTGTCACTGCTGTACAGGAAGTACATCTGGGACATGCCTGAGCTGCACCAGCATATCTTCATGATCACCTCCGGCATGGGCATCTGCTACTTTAACTACGGAGTGGACATCTATCACAGTATTCTCGCCGTCGTGGCCACTTTCATCCTGATCCGACTCCTGGGACCGACGAAGAACCTCCGGATGGCCTCATTCGCTTTCCACATGAGTCACTTACTCTTCGGCTACATCCTCACCGGCACGGACAACTATGACATCGTCTGGACGATGCCGCACTGCGTTTTAGTGCTGCGATTGATTGGACTGACCTTTGACATCTGTGACACGTTTGGAACTCATCAGAAGGGTGACGAGCCCAAGGAAATGGATGTGTATGGCATTCGGAAGATGCCGAACCTCCTGCAAATCGCCTCATATACGTACTTTCCGGGCAGCTTCCTCGTGGGGCCGCAATTTCCCTACCATCAATACGAGAGATTCCTGGCCAAGGAGTTCGACAAGTATCAGGGCTTTGTCGATGCTGGCTTCAAGAGGTTCCTCTTGGGTTTCTTCTACCTGGCTGTGTATCAAGTGGGCAACATCTTCGCCTCGGATTCTCACCTCTTGTCTGAGGAGTACGCTTCTTCGGGGTACTTCAAGAGGCTTATCCTGATGGGACTCTGGGGAAGATTGACGCTCTACAAGTACATGTCAGTGTGGCTCCTGTCTGAGGGTGTTTGTACGCGATTCGGGCTGACTTTCCGCAGTACCTCGAAGACGGAGCGTCCGGATGAGGAGGACTGGTCAGCTGGTGAGAATGTGAAGATCGGAATACTGGAGAGAGCCAGCAAGTTCACGCACTACATCGAAGCCTTCAATGTGGCGACAAATCGATGGGTGGCCAGACACATTTACAAGCGCCTGAAGTTCCTGGGCAGCAGGGAGATTTCTCAGGCGTCCACGCTTCTGTTTCTGGCTGTCTGGCATGGATTCCACAGTGGCTACTATGTCAGCTTCCTCATGGAGTTCATTGTGGTCTATATTGAGAGAGATGTGAGTTGAACGGAATCTAATGTGATATTTAGCGATGAACACGCCTTGTAATCAATGTCAATGAATTTTTCAGTTCGACACCATCGTTAAAGGCAACACGAAGCTAAGGCGACTGCTTGAGAATCCCACTTTGCAGCCCGTGTTCTACGTCCTGCTAAAGTTCTACGCCATCGTCGGCATGGGCTGGTGTCTCACGCCCTTCGCCTTTCTCAGCTTCTCCAGATATTGGGCCATTTTCCGCGCTGTGTACTTCTTCGGCTACGTTTACGCTCTGCTCTACATCCCCGTTCATTTCGTCCTGAAGGCGCTCTTCCCGCGCGAGAGGCGTGCCGCCGAGAAGAGTCAATAACCTAGGCGTGCAGATCCTCGTCCGAGCCATAATAGCACACAGTACTTATCGCAAGTATGAACAGGTAATCCGACAGTCATTGCAAGCAGTACAATTTGAATCCAGTAGTCTCTTCTCTAGCCATAGTCTCGCCTAAATGTACTCAAATAGGAGGACACAGAGTTAGAGGGTCGAAAAATGCACAGAGAATTTCTTCTCACTATTTATTTCACAAATAATCCTCTCTTCGTATGTTATTTATGAATAAAAGAGTAATTGGACGTGAAAAGTGCTGTGTTACTGAGAGATCGTTGGATTCTGAGGCGCCAAGGTTAATTTGCAGAGATATTCTAATAAATTGCCTTGTGGGAGAGGCGAAGAGAGATCATGAATTAAGTGGTGTGATTTTACGACGATTTGTGATGGCTCTTTGTGGTTTAGTTTAGAGTTAACAGTGGGACGAATTCGAGGGGTAAACAGCTTTTGCATTGTTGGCAAATTTTTCTAGAATTAATTCCTCTTCAATTTAAAACTCAATGAAATCATCAGTTTATCAGAATTTTCAATGCGAAGAAACACTTGTAGAATGATGAATAATGCCGATGGCATATATTTAATCATAGGCTTAGCTTCTTTTAATGACTTTCATGTTTTCTTACCACAAATTCTATATTTAAGAGAAAAACTGCGAAATAAACTCTGTTTGGTTGGAAAAATTTCGACAAAATGGAATTTTTCTGCAATTCTTTCTTTCAATACAGAATTATCAAATCATGTTTCTGGAATTATTCGGCGAAATTCCTTTAAATACTTGAACACTTATAATATTCGCTTTCTCATGCAGTTTTCGCAATATTCTCTTCATTCTCTATGATTCCATTATTCTCTACACATTATTCGGAATATTCGCTCGAGGTGCACGCGCGTCAATTCGCTGAGAGCCGAGCGTTGACCCCTCGGCTGAGACTACCTCAAAAGCGGCCGAATCCCTGCGCGCCTCACCGCGTGCGATGAATCAGCCGCCCTTACACGAGGCGTTCGGGGAATTGCGTCATTCACAGAGAGGGTAGCACAACGTGAGCCTCTCGTGTCGGCGAATGGCAATCCAGCTGCCGACGAGCCCCTTTTTCTCCCTCCGCATCGATCGGCGCGGCGCGTGTGACCTCACACGACGCCAGCTGAGAGTCCCTTTTGAGCGAGACCTTCTCTTCTGGGGGCAACTTTCCCACCCAAACTCGTGCTCCAATTTCGGGTCGTGGAGCGAGTTTCACCTCCACAGCAGCGCCAAAAGCTGCCCATCCCGTTTGGCCGGCAGGCGAGACAGTGGGCGACACACGAGACTCTCGAACGTGTGCAGATTAACACGGCACTTTGGATAATCGATGCTGATTTTTATGGTAATTGAATGTGAGTCAGAGAGAGTGTGGCAACTTATCTGCGAGGTTTTCTCTGATGCAAGACCTTCCTCTCAGGGATGATGCAACCCTCTGACGTCATGCGCCCCAACCGCTCAGCCCTTGGTCACCGCAGGCATGCGTTGTGTGTGTGTGCGCGCCGATTTCGAAGGGTTGGTTTTTCGAGCAGAATCATGCCATTTAGTCCGCGAGGCAGTGGAACGTCCATGGCGCGAGTGTCTCTCGGAGATTCGTGGCAAAAATAATCTTTGGAGGCTCGTCTCTGGCAAGGAGGGCAGACGATGGGGCGAAGCGCCAGAGAATTTGTGTGTAGGATTAAAAATCGATCGGCGCGCCGCTTTACACCATTCACACTGTCTGCCTTCCATGCGATTCTACACTATCTCGCTCTTTCGGGCTTGGAGAGTTCATGTGCCTGGCATTTGGTCGCATATCATCAGTTCTTGCTTGGCTCTCCTCCGTGAAGCTCACGCACAGCCAGTCAGAGTCTCTGGGCTAATCCTCAGGCTTGGTAATCTTGTATTTCATCCTCAGTTGAGAGAGAGACAGAGTGAGTGAAGTCCTCGCTTGTGCGGTGTTTTCTTTGTGTTTACAGCCAGAGACTTTTCGAGAATTTGAGGTAAGACACATTTGTGTGACTTTGCATAAGAAAGCGCGTGGAAAGCGTAGAAATTTACAACGTTTTGAAGAAGCTCCGAAAACATGGGTGATTTATTATCAGTGATTGTGGAATATTTTCTTTCTGATAAAACATGAGGAGTCACTTTTAGTGATAAAAATCACTGACGAAGACCCGATATAGAAGCACCTCCAATTAGCCACTTAGTGAGTTGCAAGTCCAAAAAATTCACTCACACAAATCATGTCAAGGATTCCAATATTGTACGATTTTCTCTCTGAACAAAAAGCCGCACAGTGCACAATTTTCCCACCTTTTTTCCCAATACATTTTCCAGCTAATTGAAGAGATTGGAAGACAAATTGAGGAGAATCACGTGAAGAACTGGGAGAAAATTTGACTTTGAGATGGGCGCTTGAAGAGCATAAAAAGCGCGTGCCTGTTTAAAAATAAATATTCCCAATGGTTTCTTTTATCGGGGAAATGAGACACACACAGAGCCACATGGCTCCGGATGGCATATCGACAGTTTGACGAGGAAGTTGGAAGAGATCGCGAGCGCCCAAGGAAAACTACTACTCAAAAAACTGTCCAAATGCAAGAGAAAAGGGCAGAAAAAAACCTTATCACTGCCTTCGAGCGCGTGTGACGTTCGTGTCTTTTGTCGTCTGGAGTTCTCTCCCTCGTCATTAAAATATATACTTTCAACGTGAGCGATTGACCTCTGGTGAAGGTTGAGCGCGGTTTCGGTGTGGGATAAAAAGCCAATCCCTCGATGGAAAAGCAGGAAATGCTACAAGAAGTGTTTCTGTGATAATCTGAAAAACAGACAGACGAATAAATTATATGACTGGAATTGTCTGTTTTTGCACTCTTCCGTTATACAAAAGCGAATGTATATGACTGAATATTGAATTCCGATTTGATATTCGACACATCCATTGAAAAAGTCGAACGATTTTGGCTCTAGAATGGCAAATAATAAGAAAAATTTACGCTAATCGTGGTTATCCTGATTCTGAATTCATTACAAACTTCTTTAAAAAATATTTTTAAGTTCAAATATATGTTTTGAAACGCTACATTTTGATCCTGAATATTTCATTTGCTCTTTTGAACACTCGAGTTTTCATTGCGTAATGATTAACGCTATCTCATGTTTGTTTTAATCACCAAAATCATATTCTCGGTAACTCTTTCGATACGAGCACTTGAACGATCGATAAGTGCATTTTGTGATATCAGTCCATAAACATCAGTTGAGAACTCTCAATAAATTTTCACTTTAATTTAGTTCATTTTAAAGAAATTTTAATTCAGCTATCTTCTATTCTGATTATCTTTAGCGTCTGAAACGAAACGTAGTTTAATGTTTCTTTAACTACTCGCAACAAGAATTTGCAGGATTATCTGAAATCGTGGCAATTTGTTTAATTTAGCATTATCACTTTGCTCTTTACAGCTGTTTGTAAAAAAAGGTTGCTTGAGTTCATAAATTAGTAATTGTCGAGAACATGAAATTTTCCATTGATCCTCTTTCACACTCCATCTGTTTGTCTTTAATTTTAGCGACACTTTTTGCCTGGTCTTTTTCTGTCTCGCGCTTCACTTTCGCGAGTGTTTGAAATTCACTCATTAGTCCTTCGCATTTATGCAGATTCAATGTGCATCTACTTAATCGGACTTTACCTCCTTGAGGCAGGTCACAAGAATTGTGAAGAAAAGGGTGGTAAAACACACCCTATTTCGCGGATTTTGGAGGCTTGTTTGTGGCTGGATTTCGTAGAGCGCGAATCTTGTCGCCTCGTCGTTGACCCACAAAAGAGTAAACAGTAAATTCAAAGTGCGTGTTTTGAGTTTTGAATATAATTAAAATAAACACAGCGAAGCGCCGCACGACAAATCATCCCAAAACTGTCGGCGGAAATCGCAATTAAATCAACATACACAACAATTGAAACTTTAGACTTCTTTCTCCTCGAGCCATGATTCACTCTCTGACTATCAAAAAGCATTTCTTTCAGCACATTTGCATGATTGTGTGGTGCCGGAGAGACAAAGGCTCTCAAGCATCTTAGTTGCATGTTGACGAATATCGCGCAAAATGCGTGCAGAATGCAAATTTCCCGCGAATTAATTACAAATGCCAATAAGATGACCTGCGACCCCGCAATGTGATTAGTGATTCTCTGAAAAGCTGCCTCGACGCCATCCAATTTAATTATATCGAGGAAATAGACGAAAAAAATTCCCCGCGGGGAAAGAGATAAAATAATTTCAGCGCAAATCATTGCTTTTATGCTTGTGAATTTATCGCGAAATTATCAAATGAATAAGTACAAAAATAGCGTCAATTCTTTTCGGGTGATCATTTGGAGTCACATGGTTGGGATTCAATTGAGGATGCCGCGCTCTCGGGAGGGTGAAAGAGTGACCAAAAACACAATTGAATGCCGCGGATTAATTCGGGCCAAAGACATGACGTTCGGTGGGTGTGTTGCTCTATTTTTAACAGGAGATCTCGGCCAAAGAACAAGACGATGTGAGGCGAGGTGAGAAGCCTGGGCAGAATGATCGAGTGTCTGAGAATGATTGTGCGATCGCTTGTGGAACAGACACTTACTATCGCGAACAGAGCGCGAGCAATCAAAAGGTATTTCTCACATCATCATAATTGTTTCTGCCAAAACATCCTCAAGTCATCTTACGTCTTTCGGCTAATTTTATAAGCATTAATCCGTCATTCAGACTCCGTCTATTTTGTATCGTGAAAATGCATCAGTTCCCTTCGGAAAATCAGTGTGAAAACTACAATTTGCTGCGATCGCGAGTGCTCAAGTGGAGAAAAAAAGAAAATGTCTTCGTCAAAGGCTTTGACCAAAGCTATGGTTCACTTTTGGCAGGTTGTAAATTTCGCGCTTTCAACGCATTCCGGGGAATTAAAAGGAGTGTTGTGGGTTTAATAAACCAATTAATTTCCCTTTTGCAGAATATGAGCCAAAAGGAGGACGACCCGAACAGTGCCAATCCGATGCTTTATGACCCCATCCAAGATGGCGTTGGATCAACACGCAAACTTATGCAATTTATTGCGGCCACAATAGGTAATTTATGAATTAAATCAACAGATTAATTTATTCCACTTTTTATCCACTCGCCATGGCGAAAAAAAGGCACGTCAATATTATAAATTTTCCTCAAAAGGTGAACAAGTTTTGATAAATAAAAATTTCCACTGAATACAGTTATGAAAAAAGAGAGAAAACATTAAAATAATAGTCTTCGCGCAGGAATGCTACAGAAATTCTAATCGACTACAGATAGTGTCGTTTGCATAAAAATCAGTGATTACATAAATTCTCTCGCGCAAGATCAATATTGAGCGAGGTGGCGACACGATGAGTGCCTTTGGAGGCTTGTCACTAGTTCAAGTTCAAGACATTCCTTCCTCAATTGGCAGCGCAGTGCAATTTTTCGCGCGTCTTCTGCAGCGCAATTGACAAAAAACGTCTTTCCCATTTGTCTTTTCAGTGGCTTTGGGCGCCGTGAGTGCTGGAACCGTCTTGGCGTGGACTTCTCCTGTCGTGAACCAGCTAAAGTCCAATGAATCACTCGCAATGACATCCGAACAAGGTAAGAATTAAACTTCTTTCACGCATTTCCCCTCAGATCAGAGCTAATAAGGGAAACTACGTAGATGAAGAAAATATCAAAAATTTCTTTCAACGCCAATACTTTTCATCTTAAAGGCATGTTGTCTCAAGATACTGAACTAAGCTTACTTGGAATATTTTTTTAAAGAATGCAATCATATTTATTATGATTTTATCACTAAATCTACAGCAATTCTCGGAGAATTTATAAACATCTCAAATGCAATTAATCAAATTTGAAAGATCTCTGCCACTTGATTACTAAACAAACTCACTACAAATTAATTATCTTTAATCTATGCACTCATCAACTCCACCCTGTGACGCTCTGAATGCAAGGTGAATATGATGTGCCCTCAAAACTAATGGTATTGGGAGTGGTTTGTTGATACACTGAAGACAGAGCAGCATAATTATTTATGGCAATTTACGTGGGCCGCAGAAGAAATGCAGCGAATTGCACTTCCCATCCCTTAATGGTCATCCCAAGCCACTCGATGGTTATGAAATTGTTTACTTGTGGCTTCTATTTGCGTTTGCTGCGACACTCAAGCCCATTTGCGTATTGCAGAAACAGAGAGAGAGAGAGAGCAATTTACGTGGTTTGAAATTAATCCATCAGCCTGAGTTTCCACTCCAATTCGCCATGAGTGACGCTAATTTAAAAGCTCTGTCGTGTGAGAGTTTTGCTGTGAGTGATGCTGTAGATTCGGGGAAACTTATCAAAACGCTAGTAAATCAGTCAAGGGGTTGATAAGATTAGGAAAAGTTTCAGAGTCAGAGTTCAAGTGGATGTAATCTCGAGGGCAGTTGTAAGTTTGTCACAGTAGAAAAATATTATTTTAAACTATATGTACGTCAAAATAATCACTCGTGGCGGATTGATAATGAGGAACTAATTAATGTGTGTATATTTTTGTGATCAAAATGAATCAAATATCGCGCAATCTTTTATCGACGATGATCTTCAACTTGTTCCCATTCTTCTCACTCTCTCTCACACTCTCTGGGTCAATAACAAGCCGATAAGGTGTGTGCTTCTCATACACTTATTGCGTGCTTATTGAGCTGGCAAAGGGTCTCATGTCACGAGATTCTTACTCACATCAAAACACTCAATGGGAAACTTGACGAGACTCCCCATACTTTGTTTGATAGTGGAGCTTTGCTCAAATATTTGCTCTCTATTGCAGAATCATGGGTGGGTTCGCTTCTGGCCATTGGGGCGTTCTTCGGCGCCATTCCAGCTGGCATTCTGGCTGACATGATCGGCAGGAAGTACATCAACATGGCTCTGGGGGTGCCCTTCCTCCTCAGCTGGGGCCTCATCATTTCCGCCACGAATGTGGGAATGCTCTACGCAGGCCGCATTTTCGCCGGTAAGCATCTACTTACCATTATGGCCCCCATAAAGCTGTCTTATCTCACCCGGTGGCTCTTAATTGACTGCGATGTCATTCCAGGAATTGCTACTGGAGCGGTTTGCGTGGTGGCGCCGATGTTTATCTCAGAGATTGGAGAGGCATCGATTAGAGGTGCTCTGGGATCCTTCTTCCAGCTCTTCCTCACCATGGGCATCCTTCTGGTGTACGCCGTGGGCTCCTTCGTGGACTGGAGAACACTGAGCGGTGTTTGTGCCATTCCTCCAGCCCTCCTGATTGTTGGGATGTTCTTCCTGCCCGAGAGTCCTGTTCATCTCGTGAAGAAAGAGAAGAGAAACGATGCAGTGAAGGCGCTGAAGTGGCTCTGGGGAAAGGAGTGCAACTCTAGAGCTGCGATTCAGGTCATCCAGAATGATGTGGACTCGGCAGCGGGCAAAGCTTCGATCAGGGACTTGTGGACAATCCCAGCAAATAGGGCTGGTCTCATCATTTGCCTCTGTCTGATGCTGTTCCAGCAAATCTCCGGCATCAACGCTGTGATCTTCTACACTGAGCCGATCTTCCAAAAGGCTGGCACATCATTCGACGCTTCGGTCTGTACGATCATTGTGGGAGTGGTGCAGGTCTTCATGACATTCGGATCCACGCTGTTGATCGACAAGGCTGGAAGGAGGATTCTCCTTATGCAGAGCAGTATCGTGATGGGCGCTTGCTTGACCATGCTTGGCATATACTTCCATCTCATGGATGCAAAACATGATGTCTCATCTATTGGATGGCTGCCTCTGATTTCCCTCGTTCTCTTCATCGTCAGCTTCTCCCTTGGGTAAGTTAGAGTTACACCGAAGCTCCGCCTACTCTCATGCCCCGCCCTTAAAAACCATAAATACTGATCTTTTGCCTTCTCAGCTTCGGCCCCATTCCTTGGATGATGATGGGCGAGCTCTTTGGTCCCGACGTAAAGGGCATGGCCTCCTCAATTGCCGTCATGCTGAACTGGACTCTAGTGTTCATTGTGACCAAATGCTTCGGCATGATGCTCGAGAACTTCGGCAGCGACATCACCTTCTGGATCTTCGCCGTCTGCATGGCCATTGCCACAGTCTTCGTGGCACTGAAGGTGCCTGAAACCAAGGGCAAGAGCGGCGCTGAGATCCAGATGATCTTGGCGGGAAAGCAGAACTAACCACAACTATAGCCTTAAGTAATATCTGTTAGCAATACTTCATGTTAATGCCTGACTATCATTTTGTTGCTCTGTCCCTGAGAAAGTGCATTTATTGTGAACAAGTTTAGAGTTCCATCGTCGATTTGAAATGATTGTAAGATTAGGTATTAAGCAGCTCTCTGATTTTTCATTTTACAAGCCATACAAAGACGAATTTAGTGGTTCAAGTTTTATCGGAAAGGTGCTAAAGTGAGATGGTGAAGAAGGACAATAAGAAGAAGATATTGATGGGCATAATTGTGTAAAAATTAACTGAAAAGAAAAAAAAAACATATCGCGATCAGGTCTTCCGAAACAAAAAGCCCAGAAGAAGTGTCTGTTCTGTTTTATGTTCAATTTTAATCTGGTTTTTCAGCTGTAGAAGAAATTATTCTAAAAAAAACAACACACATATATAGAAATCCATGAAAGAGTCACAGACTGCATTTTGAGATGGTGAAGATGTATTTTTAAGATGAAAGTTGAGTGAGACAAAGTCGGATGGAAGAGATTTCCAAATGTTCGTAGAGGAAATTTATTAATTTCACAAAAACCATTATCTTATCTCTTGTAGTTTTAGCTAAATGTCTTAGAAAAAAGAAGCAAAAATATCACTCTTTTGACAGAAGTTTTATTCTATAATATATATCATTTTTCATAATTCGCGAAAAGAAGAATGTTATCTGTAATTTAGATTTTTCTGCTGAGAAAATCATGATTGTTCATTTTCTGTACAAAGTGTTATACGATTAGTCATTTAAAGAATGTGTAGCAGTAAAGAATAAAAATATATTATACTTCTTTAGTGATAAATATTGGCTTTTTATTAATCATTTGTGTGATTTTTGTAGTGCAAGTGATTTCTTGTTGACTCTGGCGCGCCACTGGAATGACGAAGATTGTTGCATATCGACAACACTTGGCGTCTATCAGGAATTGAGGTGCAGTTCTCTGGAGTGGTTAATGCCGCCAAAGGTAATTAATTCCTCCTGAGTGGCTATCAGAAGCCCTCTGATAAGCAGTGATTTGAGGAAAATTACTCAGAAATTTCCTGAGCGAATAATAAATTCTTATTCAGCGATTTAGCGTCTTTTCTTATGTACAAAACGTGGGAATATGATGTCACTTAGTGTCGTTTGTGATCATCTTAATTGAGCATATCAACAGGAAATGCACAGCAAAATGATGAAAACACATAAAAAATGTGAAAGAATTATGCGACAAATTGGCGGGAAACCTTGAATGAAGATCAATAGCGATTACAATCTCAAAATGTGATCGCCTTTCTGGGAAGAACCGGCCAAAAATGCGAGAAATTTCCGCTTGAAGGTGCGTCTTATTGCGGAGAAATGCATTCAATTGCAATTCGATAAGTGTGATTCAAGTGCAATCAGTGCAAATATTGTTGATATGTCGTAAGAATGGGCGAGTATGATCTATAGGCGATAAGAGAGTCTATATAACTGACACTGACCCGATCTTCCAGTGTTATTGTGCCATCAGAGCTCCAAGCAGAAAGTGAGAATAGTCCAATTTGTGCCAATTTGGTGTATCCGCTGAAGAGATTTCTCTTAAGAACCCACATTAGTGCATGTCGAAACTCAATTGTGATATCAAAACTGGTGAACAAGTGGCATTTTCCTCACATCAATTTCGCATATTTCACCAACACAACAGTGGAAGTGACGAGATTACTTCTCCCAGTTTTCAGTCGAGACAGAATTCTGTGTAGTCAATGAATCCGGCTGAACTTAACTATCAGCCAGTCAGTGCGTTTGAGTCGTCCGACCGAGATTTCTTGAAATCCCAGCGGTTCAGGATGGAGCAGGGCAAGAGCTACAGGCAATTTCTGGCTGGTGTTGTTGGTAAAAATCACCTTCCTGTGACCTGAATCACTTGAAAATCAAAGCTTAAAAACACTAAAGATGTGCAATTGACGCAAAATCCCGCGGGAGTGAGATAATTGACCTCATTAGTGGACTTTCTTTTTGCGCGCAAATAAAGATCCCAATTAACTCATTTGTTTATACAAAACATTTGCGTTAATCGCACTTTGTCGCGCTCAATTCCAGTTAATATCGCGAGTTTGGCACTGGGAACGACTTTGGGATGGACATCACCAGTGTTCCCCAAGATCAGCAGCGCTACACAAGATGACACTCCCCTGGATGGCCCACCAGATGACGAGCAGCTCTCATGGATCGGATCACTGGTGGCTCTTGGAGCCCTCATCGGTGAGTGTGCACTCTTGTATACGCCCCAATTTGATAAGAAGCGCGTGCAATTATTCGTCTTCCTCCGCAGCGCCTTTCATTGCCGGACCCTTGGCGGATAAGATCGGCCGCAAGTGGACATTGCTGTCCAGCACGGCTTTCTTCGCCGTCTCCTGGATACTCCTCATCACCACTAACAATGTCCCACAGATGTACGTGGCTCGTTTCCTGCAGGTCAGTCAATCTTGATCCTTGATTTGATCAGTAATAATTCAAACTGTTTTCTTCAGGGTTTTGGTGTCGGTTTCGTGATGACCGTGCAGACAATGTACATTGGAGAAATCGCATCCGATCAATTCCGGGGTGCTCTGGGATCCTTAATGCAACTATTCATTGTGGCTGGAATCCTGTACGTCTACGCCATAGGTCCATACGTGACCTATGTGAGTCTGCAGTGGATTTGCTTGATTCCACCACTGGGCTTCGCAGCGGCCTTCTTCTTCATGCCAGAAACACCCTACTATTACACCCAGAAGGGAGACAAGACCAATGCCATCAAGTCACTGCAATTCCTGAGAGGAAAAACCGCTGAAGGTGTCCAGGAAGAGGCGCTGAAAATCCAGGAAGCTGTTGATGAGGCGATGAAGAACAAGGGCACGATTAAGGATCTCGTGCGGAACAAAGGCAATTTCAAGGCTCTGATCATCTGCGCAGGATTGATATCCTTCCAGCAATTGTCCGGCATCAACGTGGTGCTGTTCTACAGTCAGATCATCTTCGCCAAGACCGGAAGCTCACTCGAACCCGCCATTGCGACGATCATAGTGGGCATTGTCCAAGTTGTTGCCAGCGGTTTGACGCCTTTCGTTGTCGACAGGCTCGGCAGGAAGATTATTCTACTCTTCTCAGGACTTGGCATGGCCATTTGTCACGCGCTCTTGGGACTGTATTTCTTCCTGGACTACAAGAAGGCTGAAGTGGTGCCAGACATTGGATGGCTTCCCGTTCTGTCTGTTATTGGCTTCGTCTCAGTTTACTGCGTGGGATTTGGACCGTTGCCTTGGGCTGTTCTGGGTGAAATGTTTCCGGCCAATGTGAAATCGATCGCATCCTCAATGGTGGCGTCAACTTGCTGGATTCTTGGCTTCCTCGTCACCAAGTACTTCTCGGCTCTGGACAGTGCTGTGGGAAGTCACTGGGCGTTCTGGATCTTCGGTTTGTTCTGCTGCGGCGCCTTCGTCTTCACCTTCACGACGGTCATGGAGACCAAAGGTCAGAGTCTACAGGAGATCCAGGACAGACTGAACGGACGAAGGCCGGAAGAGCAGTAAATAAGCTATGATTTGTATACATTCCTAGGTGCACTATAAATACAATTTAAATGAAGAATACCAAAATCTGCTTTAGGTTACTGTAGCACATCTTTAACATTCCTCGGTTTTAGTGGGAATTGACTCATTAATCTCTGAGTATTGAAGCGAGTTAAGAGTGAAGATTTTTTAACGGCTTGACTTTGAATGCTCAACGGGTGAAAAGCAGAGCGCACTGTGGAGATGTCGCTGATGGGATTTGGAGGGGAAACATTCCCGCTCTGACATGAACGGCCACGAGCACAGGCGATGGACGCGGCCGAAGCGGCGACAGTCTTGTCTTGAGCGTGGTGCTGTTCGAACGTGGGATTTTACGCTTGCTTGTCGGTCGCGGAGAGAATGGCAAAAGTGGAGTGATTTGGCCAGAATATTCCTCCCAGTGCGAATCCCACAGTGTCACAGGCATCCGGAAATGCTTCGGCGACATGGCCAGAATATCTAGTGTAGTGTACAACGCATGCAGTTCGAGTGGGAATTATGATAAGTGTGCACTCCTTTGTTTCCCCAGACAGTTGTTCAGGCTCGTGAGTTCAGCTGTGACCAAGTGTTCTAGGCATAGTGATTTGATCGGCGGACGAGTCATCAGAAATGTGCTTCTCTGCATCGCATTGCTAAATGTTTTGTTTGTGGATTTCGGCGACGCCCATGGAATTCATCTAGCAAGTGAGTGTCAAGGATGAACAAATCGCTGAGGCGAGAAGCCTCGGCGCTTCAGAAATCACAACCGTATTTTCCGCTCTCACACATTTCGCTGAGGCTCCGCCAGAAGTCCTCAATATCACATCTTCGCTATCCTTCCGCTCTTGTGACTGCAAACACACTATAATTGAAAGGGTAGTGCGCGCCTCCTTACATCATGATAAATGACTCCTTCGTGGCGGGATTTCCTTATTAGAAATTATTTGATTTCTCTCTCTTCTCTCTCTGCGCTTCGTCGATCGATTCTGCCTCCTCGGGACACCTCAAGATGAACATGATAATGCGGGGCGGCGGATAAGGAGGAAAAATTGTTGCCATTACCCAAACAATCAGATTGATATTAATGCTTGCCGTGTTTTTGATCCCACGGCGCCCAGGCAAAAAAAACGTCTGAGGACACACAAGGACATAAAAAATAATTAGACAAAGGCGCGCATGAGACGCTGGAATACAAACAGCCCGAAGATTGTAATCTCATCCTTGAATATGTTGCCTCACCCTCTGATATGGCTCTTTTTTCGGGCCTCAGCCATCCTCTCTCTCTCTCTCGCTCTCTCTCTCTCTCTCTGGCGGTGTGTCCTCTGGAATTGTGAGTAATCATGAATTCAAATAGAATTACTAGGTGCGTCTCTCTTGTTCCGTCTTCTTCCCTTGGCAAGAGGTTTTTGTCCCTCAGCGTATCTGTTACAGACTCAATTGAAAATCGATACGGAATGTGAGGCGATGAACATGGTGAGATCTCGCGCCATGGAAAATTACCCCCGAACTGTGGAGGTTTGGTATCTTTAAAGTGCAATTTCAGAGGAAGAAATTGGCACTTTGACGGCAATTTGGCCAAATCTTTGATTAAGATACCAAATAACCCGAAATTACGACGGTTTTTGTCGTTGGTCACGAGGTTGCAAGGACAGGAAAGAATCAAGAAAGCGTTATGAGTATAAGCGCCTTATCCCACTTCCTTCTTTTTGCTTTCAAGTTAACGACAATGAATTTTGAAGGAATGTTTTAACATAATCTTAGGAACAAAATAGCTAAAATCAACAGGCTAAGGAGTTATGAGTCTTTAATAGTCCTAATTTTCCTAAAAAATTGCATTTAAAGAGGAAATTGGACACTTCGTGTCGATAAGTGTCGATCTGAAGAGTAACAGTTAGTTGAGCTGTAGAGATTTTCCAATAATTGTGGAAAAGCCTCTTTAATTGAGCAAAGTCTTCTCTCCATTACTTCTAATCTCATCTCCTCCACCGACTCTGATTTTTTACGATCTCTCAGTTAATTCTCAGACTTAATAGTGGCGATAGTAAAAGAGAATCACTTCTGTGAGAGATTTTCACCCAATGCGAGAGGGTTTTAGCCACTCATATGGCATAAAGCCGTCTTCGACATTATCTCAATTTGTCCCTAAAATCTCCAATATTTGTTTATTTGGAATGTTGCATTTTGATTTATTGTCAATATCCCATTTCCTCCCGGATTCTCGAGATGTTTTTCTAATGCGCTTGAGTCATTTTGGTCTTTTTTCTTGCCTTCGAGCAATTGAACGTTGTGCGTGATGTTTTTGAGCAGTTCGAACACGTCAATGAGTGAGTGAATTTATGAATTTTTGACCTTCTCAGGTAACAAATACGTGTGTTTTCCTGAGAAATGTCTGCTCTCTGCTGAAAAATACACAATGTACACAAAGTTGAGAGGAAGGCGCAAGAAAAGGCGATACAGGAAGTGAGATTAAGGGTGGGTTTGGAATGTCTCTGGGCTAAAAGGATTGAAGATGTCTGAGGAATGCTCGGAGGAAATTGAATTTGCATGGAAAGGAGACGCATAGTAATTCATGGTGATATGTCAATTTGTGTCAATTTAGTAATTCATCTAAATAATAACTCAATCCTCTCCCAAAAGCCATAATGCTTACATCGCGCAATAACAGCTCACATTTCTCAAGAACTTCCGGCCATTTAGTGGCAATGTATTTGGAAGGGAAATGATATTGTGGCGTTAATGAATTTTCAAGTATCGAATTTCATTAAATAAATTCACAATTTACAATGTTTTCTGCGTCGCTGAAACAAGAGTGGATCAGCTATTTTTTGTGCCAGTGTGCGCTTTTAATGGGGGAGAAGAGATAAAAGGGTTCACTCATGATTGAATTGAGTGTCAACTTTCGGGCTCCCGGATATTTTTGCCGTGCCGTGAGTGTCTGAATTGACTGATAAATTGCATCATAACCCACTTTGGCCAATTGGATTTTGGCTTAAATCATTTGGTGATGAAAAAATACAACACAAAACAGAGAGGAGCAATTTAAAATGGGTCAGAAAAACATTACTTTAGTGCTGCAGAGTGTCAAATTTGAGTGATTTCCTCTTAATTTCCTCATCTGCACTTTTCTCTGTGTTAAATCTTTTTTTCTTCTACTCTTTCAATGGTTAAAATATTTTGAATGACTGAATGCGAAGGAGCAATCAATGATGGGAAAATGTGGGCATTGATGGAAAATTCTCCGTGTGTGCGTGTGGAAAATCCGCAATATGAACTCACATGACCTCTTCCGCCGCATACAAAATTGTGCGTATGGGAAAAGTGAGCAAATCTCGTAAATCGATTCCAACTGTTCATCATTGGAGCCTCAAACCACGGGTCAATGCACTTCATTTGAGCCATTCGGATTCTAATTCTCGCATCAAAGGCTTCTAATTAGTGATGCAGCGGAGGTTTTAGCTCAGCCAAGAGCTATTTGCAAATTCACCTTCGAATTGAATAGAGGAGGAAATCACGTATTTTGAGGTCACCGACGAAGTTGCTTTTTGGAGGTTTGCTGATAGACTTTGATTGAGTCTCTAATAGAGTCTCTATAAATGACGAAGTGAATGCCAAATGGCAAAAGAAGCCAGTTTTTTTTCTGTCCACCAACATTCCTCAACGGTTCAATCTTCAAAAATTCGATACTTGTGCTGTAGAAGCGCAGAAGACGCGCGCGAGGTTGGCTTGAGGAAAGCCAAGCAACAAACTGTAAATTGTCGAGTTCCTCAGGCAATTTTTGCCAGCTTAGAATCAATTCTCGTGCTCATGTATTTTCTCAGACTCCCACAAATCTCTTTTGTTGAGTGATTGCAAATTACCATTTGGCGGATGGAGGAGAAAAAGAGTTGTTATAAATTACATCGCCTCCGATTTTTCCACATATGAAAACAGTCATAATTGAGAGTCCAAATGGTTTGCAATAAATACAGAAAATTACTATTGAGGGTGGATATTATTCTTCTCAATGAACACTTTTAGTTTGAGAAATATATTTTATCGAGACGTGGAAATCATGTCAAAGTGAATTTTGCAATTCTCAGCATGCAAAATTGCACATGTGGAAAAAATAATAAATTATTCGATGTAAATTGATTGCAACCTTGAATACTTTGTAATAAGTGAGCTTAAAAATTTTAAATTATGCCTCTTCTTGCTCAGTGAAACTTAAACCTGAGAGGCGTGAAAGATGTGGACAAAAGAGTGTAAATACAAGACCAGTTCCCAAAGTGGAGAACCTTCTCTGCTCATTAGTTGCAGACATCGCGAGGAATCCGCGATATTTATCGTTCAAGTGACTCATTCATCAATTGATGAACACGTCTCATTGTGCTGAGAAATGAAATCTCATGCGATTTTCCAATGATTTTCAGATGAGTTCACGCTTAGTGATGGTAAAATTCTCGGAATGACTTGATTCAGAGACACACTGAAATGTTTCGGGAATCCAAAAATATCACCTTTCTGGTGGAATTTCGGTGGCGACTTTGGCATTTCTTCGCGTCTAATTGGCTCTTGTGCTTCAAAATTCTGACCCAGCAGACAAAGTTAAACTGATTCTTCGTGTGCTTGTAATGAGATTTTAAAGTGCTGCCCAATGTAATTTAATTGATGTGAACCCGGATTAATTTTTTGTCCACTTCCACAGCTCGACAATTTTCGGGTTACACACTGAGAAGTTGAGAAACTTTTTCCCAGAAAGATTTTGCGAATTCACGGCGGTGTTGAACGAAACTCGCAAAAATAATGTTTGGGATTAACACGGTTAGAAATGAATTGCGAAAAGTTGAGGTTGAAAAGATTCAAGATTAACTGAATAACTCGATTAGTCGTCTTTTATTATTTTTAGAATATTTTATGTTTTCTAAGATTCTTAAGACGCTATTCTTATTTTCTCCTTTTCTACTATTTCTCGCAGTGCATAAAAGGTTAGGTTTTCAGAACAGTGCGTTTGTTCTACATTTTCTGCTCACGTTCGATGATCATTCGCGGAAAAGCAGAAAAGGGTGAAAAAGTGTATCTAAAATTGAATTTGAAACACGTTAGTGACTCCATGAAATCCAAGACATCTTTTATGGTGTCGCCGTCGTAAAAGAAGCACTAAATTTCTGATTAACATCGAGCAACTTGCACACGGCTGACGTGGAGGCAAAGAACAGCTGTTCCCACTCACACACACCTCGCGTTGGCTCACGTGAATCTTGCGGTGGGGGCCTGAGCGACCCTAACAATTGACTTTTGTGCCAATGAGTCACCTGGCGAGAAGAGAGAGAGGGAATAAACGTCTGGAATCACCGTTTTCCGCGAAACACCTCAACGGTTTTTATTGTTGGAAAGAGCGGAAAAATATACACAAAGATGTTTTATTTATTGCCTCAGCGCAATTCATTTCATTTTCTCTCGCACATTACAAAAGATCCGCACATGTGCGACTGCGAGCAATGAAAGCTAATACACATTGGGCTTGAACAAAGCCCATTTTGCACTAACATAATTGTGAAAATCTTAGTGATGTTTTGGCGTTTGGTTTATTTTGCAACAAAGAGCTTTGGAGTGAAATATCTAGAAAGCGAAAATTTTATCAAAATACAGTCGTGTGTAATTATTTATAAAACACACGTTCGCTGAGACGTGAAGGAGGAATTAAATTGTCATTAACAAGGGTGTAA